ACAGCCCCGCCCACTCCCCTCCCTCCAGCAGCGGCCCCCCCCCTCGGCGCTGGGGAAAGACCCTTTGGCTCCCAGCCCCCAGGCACACAGGGTTTTCAAACCGCATCGCCGTCCTGGGTTGGTGGGCTGTTCGAAGCCTGAAAGGAAAGGACGGTTCCGCCCACCCCTCCCTCTGCCTGGCTCTCCGGCGGCTCTGAGAGGGTTTGTGGCTGGGAGGCCCCGGGTCAGGAGGAGGGGCGGTGAGGGCTCATGGGAAGGCTCCGTGGCCCCCGGCCCACCTCCCGAGGCTGCTGGGGGGGTCCCCAGGCACAGGCACCCACATCCGAGGGCTCCTTGGTGTGGGGACAGACGGGGGCTGGTGGGTGTTCCCGTGTGCCGGCCCTGCCTGGAGCCTGGGGGGCCAGTGCGGGGGCCCGGGGGCCAGCGGGTGTCCTCGGAGAGGGGGGCAGCGGGAGAAAGACTTGCACGGCGTATTTTTTTTATTTTATCAAAGTGACTTTAAAATCGCGCTCCCACGTCACTGTGGAGTGTGGGGTTGTCTCAGATTCAATCTGCTCCTCTGCCACAATCACCAGAAAATAGGTTAATTTCAGCGAAGCAGAATCTGAAACCGGCCCCTCACGTGGGCGGCGCTGACGTGCGGGTAAAAATAGCTCCAGTTTCCAGCCCGGAGACTTCCGGGGGTCCGGGCGCGGGTCCCGGGCGGTGTGGGTCCCCCACGGAGTGAGGGCCCGGCAGTGGTGCCGCTCACAGGGCACCCCACCCTCAGGACAGCGCCTCCTGGCCCTCCCCCACGGGTGCTGGCGGGCCCTGGGTGACCCGGCAGCGGGAGATCGGCAGAGGGGCAGCCGTCCACACGCTCACGGGAAGGGGCGCCTCCTTTCTCCTCCAGACCCCAGAGTGCCTCGGGCTTCGCAGTCCGGCCCTGTGCCCGGCCTGCCCCTGGCCGGTGGTGTCCCTGGCGGACCGGCTCCTGCCTCCCCAGAGCAGTCTCCCTGCCCCAGAGTCCCTCCCCCTCCGTTCCCGTCTTTATTTCATTTTCCACTGAGCTTGCACAGTCGCCTCGAGAACTTTCTTTCTGGAACGTTCCTTCCCTCTCCTGGGCTGGGAGAAGCCGTGCGGCCAGGCCGCTGCGAGGGGACCGGGTCGGGAGGCCGAGGGCGGGGCACAGAAGCCCGTCCAGTGACTGGAGGGCCGGTCCAGTGGAGGCCGGACGTGCCCTGGCCCATTGCTGGTGCGATGGCCATCTGTCCACCTGGGGCCTGTGCCAGGTGAGAGCCGGGCTGGCCGCTCTCCAGACCCCCGCCTGTGCGTGCTCCCGCCCGCCCCCCGGGACCTTGCCCGGGGCCAACCTGGGGTGCCAGCGCCTCCCGGAGCCCACGCCCCGTCTCCCTGAGCCCCCTGCCAGCCGCCCGGCACCTCGTCCTCGTGGGCACCGCTCAGGCCGGGCGGGGCCGCGGGGCCGAGGGCCCGGGCAGCCCCGTGAGGCTGACCCCCCTGCCCGCTGTTCTGCCCGCTGCTCCTGAGGTTCCGGGTGAGCCTGACCTTTGGTGCGGCCACGTGGGCCTCGGGGTTGGCGCTGGGAGCCTGCGTGTCGGGGTCGGACGTGCCTGGCACCGTGGCCACGGGCTGTTTGCTCGCCGTGTCTCCCGCCTCGAGGCAGCTGCCCGGCCGCTGCTGGGCGACTCGGAGTCGGAAAGCACTGACCTCGGCTTCTGGTTCTCACCCAGCAGCTTATTCACTTTTTAACGTGGATTTTTAAATAACAGCTTTACTGAGACTGTTTACGTAAAACTCGCCCTGCCTGAGAGCAGGCCAGGGTTCCCGTCTCAGCGCCATCGCCTCCCCGATCAGGGCCTTTCTTCACCGAAAAGCCCGGCTCCCGAGCTCTCCCGCCTGGCGCCGGGCACCCGGCACCGGCACCCACTTCCCGTTCAGGGCCTTCCCGTGGGTGGAGCCGCGCCGTGGCCTCTGTGCCGGCTCCTCACTGAGTCCCTCAGGGTTCCTCCCGAGACAGCGCGAGTCCGAGCCTCCCTCCCGACGTGGGCCGCACACGCGTGTGGACAGACCGCCGTACACCGGGCGGTCCCGGGTTGGGTCGCTGTGAGCACACAGGTACACGTGTGTGTGGACGTGTTTCCCACCGTCTCCAGTCCGTGCCAGGGGTGGCGTTGCCGGGCCACGGGGGGGCTGCTGTGTTTCACTTGGGGGCCCGGCGAGTGGGGGGGCTGGCTCCGCGCGGACGTCAGAGCCGAGAGCTCCCTCTGGCTGCATGTCCTCCGGTCCCGCCCGCCAGCTCCCGCGTGTGACCACGGAGCGGGGTCGCGGGCCACGCAGCCAGCATGTCCCCGCAGGGCAGCTCCGTGCTGCCAGGCTTCCGGGCACCGCTGTTCCCGTGGGCGTGGGCGTGGGCGTGGGCGGGGCCTGCTGGGGGCGGGGCCTGGCTGAGTTTGACACTCGTTTCCCTGGTGACCATCGATGCTGCGTCTCTTCACGTGCTTGTCGGCCACGCGTGTGTCTTGTTAGAAGAAATGTTTGTTCGTCCTTGACCCCTTTCTTAGCCGTGTGTGTGTGGGGGGTCTCAGAGTTGCTTCCTGTCTGTATGCTGGACCGGCCCCTGTGAGACTCTGATCTGAGACCCCTCCTTCCGCTCGGCTGGCCTGTCTCCACTCTTGTGACCGTGTGCTTTGCAGCGTGGAAGTTTCTGGCTTTAGCCCTGGCCGGTCTGGCTCAGTGGTCAGGGCGCCGGCCTGCAGAGGGGGGATGGGGAAGGTGGGGGGACAGGAACAGGAATAGGGGGTGATGGAGGTGCAGGCAGGGTGCTCCCAGGGTAGCACATGCTTTGGGTGGTACACCCCGCTCTGAGCTTCACCCAGGCAGGTATGTGGGGGCCCCTGTCTGTGAGGGGCAGTGGGGGCCCTCTCCCTGGGGCGGCGGTGGGGCCCCCAGCCTGTCCTCCAGCACCGACACCGCCTCCCTGTGCGGCCCGGCCCGCCCATGGCCTCGTGGTGAGAAGAGGGAGCTGACCAGGGCATGTGGGCCTGTGCTCAGGTGTGCGAGGCGGTGGCAGGGCTGCGGGCACCGCCCTCGGTGTACTCTGGGCCGCGTGTGCACGGGGCGTCCTCTGGGCCAGCTCGCTCACTTCCCCGTGCAGGAGCGGACCTGGCAGGTGCCGGCCGCTGGGGCGCCACCTCCCCGGGATTCCTCCCTCCCCAGCTCCCGCTGCCGCTCTGTCAGCCCCAGGCGCCCCTGTGACCTCTCCGGCCTGGTGCCGGCCCCCTCCCTCCCCCTGCCCTCCCGGCCCGAGGCGACAGCCCTGTTTGGTTTCCGGGCCTGGCCCGCGGCAGGGCAGGCAGGCAGGCGCTCAGGGACCGGCGTGCCTCCCGCAGGCAGAGCGGTGTGTCCGTGGGGACCAGGCTCAGGGACTGGCATGCCCCTCGCCCAGCGCCAGGTCCCGCCTGATGCCCCGGCCCCAGCACCCGGTGCGGAGGCCCTGGGCATCCCTGGGTGGTGGTCTGCGTGCCCGGTGTCCACACACTGCCCTGAACAGGAAGTGCCCAAACCCTGACGGTGCGGGCGCCCCCGCACACCCTGCCCGGTGGCCAGGCCGGGGTGACGGGCGGGTGGGAGGGTGTGGCGCGCGCGGGTGGGTGAGGCGAGCGGCAGCCGTCTGACACCGGCTCCCTCCCTGAGGTTCTCGGAATCGGCGCCTGTGGCTTTCCTCTCGGCGAGTTTCCTCCGCCACCGTCCTCTCAGACAGGAAGCCCCGCCCTCGCCCTGAACGGCCCCCTCCGCCCCCGTCTGTGCCAGGTGGTGGGCACCGCCAGTGCAGGCAGAGGTCGCCTGCGGGCACCCCCGTGGGGGCGTCTCCCCTAAAGGGCAGCACCCGGTGGGTCCCCCGGTGCTTGTCCCATCGGGGCTGCCCAGTGCCGCCTGGCCCCACGGGTGGGGGTCACTGTCCTCCTGGGCGGGGCTGCCTGCTTCCTGGAGTGAGATCGGACCGAGGGCGCCCTGTCCCCTGAGGGAGAGGGCTGAGGACGAACGGCTGCCCGCGGCAGGGTGCGGGCGCCTGGCACACGCACACGCACACGCACTGGCTCGCTCACTCCGTGGGCCTGGGCAGGACCTCCCCTGGAGCCCTCAGGCCACGGCCCTGCCCCGGGTCCACCTGCCGGGTCTCCTGATCCCTGGTGACAGCTGTGGTGAGCAGCCCGGGACTGACCGCCCTCTGCCCTCCCTGGGAACCCGCCCCTGAGGACGGGCTGGCGAGTGCCTGGGCCTCTCCCCCAGCCTCGGCCCCATGGGGTGTGGGTGCCCACGGAGTCTCCTGGACGCGCAGGCCCTGGCCCTTCAGGGGTGGGGTCCCATGGACCCAGAGTCCTGGCTGGGAGGCCTGTGGTCTGGATGCCAGGAGCCTGGGAGCTCAGCGTGCCTGGTGTGAGCTCGGAGGCCCATGGTCACTCCCCCCTCCACACACACACACACACACACACACACACTCACACACACACACACACACACACTCACACTCTCACACACACACACACACACACACACACACAAACACTCACACTCTCACACACACACACTCACACTCACACACACACACACACACACACTCACACTCACACACTCACACTCACACTCACACACACACACATACTCACACTCACACACACACACACACACTCACACAGCACAGGCCAGAGCAGTTTGACATTAGTTCTCTGGTGAAACCCAGAGCTCTGAGGAGCCGGTGACACCGCGGGGAAGCTTTGGGCGGCCGGACACAGGCCACCGGGCCGGCGCAGGCTGCTCTGGGCGGACTGGGCGGCCCTGGCTGCTGCCGGCCGTGGGCACCGGGCGGTGTGCGGCCGTCCCACGAGGACGCTGCCATCGCCTGAGCGCAGTGTGGCTGGTCCCAGGGCAGGTGTCCAGCGCTGGGGGGACCACCCAGGCGTGGGCGCCCCAATGCCAACGGGAACGTGTGTCGCTCACAGGTCTCCTCTGAGCCCCCCGTCTCCATCAGAAAAACAGACGACGCTCCCTCCCAGCACCCCGCATCTTCGGAGAAGGACAAGCAGTCCAGCTGGCTGCGGACCCTGGCCAGCTCCTCCAGCAAGGTTCGGCGGGGGCGGGGCCTGGGGGCGGGCTGTGGGGCGGGGCTGTGGGCGGGACCACTAGTGCAGTTCACTGGCCTCTGACCCGGAGCCTCTCCCTCCTCCTCAGAGCCTGGGCTGTGCTCACCCTCGCCAGCGCCTCTCCGCCTTCCGACCCTGGTCCCCTGCGGTTTCTGCCAGCGACAAGGAGCTCTCCCCACACCTCCCAGCCCTGATTCGAGACAGGTAAGGACCCTGCTCAGCGGCCAGTGGCCCCGCAGGCCCGGGCACCATTGGACTCTGCAGCCTCCGAGTCAGTGGTCAGCTCCCTGCTGAGCTGCCCCGCCAGGGGCGGCCTCAGGCGGCCACGTGCATGTGTGCGTGGCCTGTGGTGGTCTGTGCGGGACCCTAGCGCACGCTCCCGCAGCCCAGCTGCCGCGACTGGAGCCTGCGTGGCTGGGGCGGTGGAACCCGCCCCGTGTGTTTTCGTTGTTACTTGCTTTTTGTTAGTCCTCACCTGAGGGTATTTCCCCACTGAGTTTTGGGGGGGGGGGGGGGAGAGACATCCACGTGAGACATTGCGATTGTTAGTCTCCTTCCTGCTCACGCCCGACTGGGGCCGGGGACGGAACCTGCAACCGAGGCACATGCCCTTCAGTCCACAGGCCGGCACGCCAACCACTGAGCCGCCAGCCAGGCCGCCTGGCATTGCCCTGGGCGTCTGTCACGGCGAGTGGTGACTGTAGGCCTCCCAATGCCCTGGCCCAGCTGCCTGGCCACTGTGATGGGCTCAGGGAGAGCTCGTCCGGAACTCGGTGGGGCAGGGTGGCGGCAGCTCCCGAGGCCCCTGCAGGTGTCTCCCTCGCACTCCGTGCTCAGCACTGGCTGCTGGCCCGCGGCGGGGGCGGGGGTGGGGCTGGGCCGGCCTTACAGTGCCCGCCCCATGCCCACCCCGTGCCCGCCTTGTGCCCGCAGCTTTTACTCCTACAAGAGCTTCGAGACCGGTGTGGCCCCCAACGTGGCCCTGGCGCCGCCGGCCCAGCAGAAGGTCGTGAGCAGCCCGCCATGTGCCACCATCGTCTCCCGGGCGCCCGAGCCCCACGCCTCCTGCATCCAGCCGCGGAAGCGCAAGCTGGCAGCCGACACGCCCGGGGCCCCGGAGGCGCAGGCACCCACGGCCGCCCCGGAGGAGGACAAGGACTCGGAGGCCGAGGTGGAGGTGGAGAGCAGAGAGGAGTGTACGTGGAAGCCCCTCGGCCAGCCCTCCCCCTCGGCCAGCCCTCCCCCTCGGCCAGCCCTCCCCCTCTGGCCAGCTCACCCCCCTCAGCCAGCCCTCCCCCTCGGCCAGCCCACCCCCCTCTGGCCAGCCCATCCCCTCGGCCAGCCCACCCCCCTCAGCCAGCCCATCCCCTCGGCCAGCCCACCCCCCTCAGCCAGCCCATCCCCTCGGCCAGCCCTCCCCCTCGGCCAGCCCTGCCAGGGAGGGGGTGCGAGCACCCCGGTAACCTGCACCCGCTTCTCGTCCACAGTCACCTCCTCTCTGTCCTCGCTCTCCTCGCCGTCCTTTACCTCATCCAGCTCGGCCAAGGACCTGAGCTCCCCAGGGGTGCACGCTCCGCCCGCCCCGCCCTCGGCTCCCGACACTGCGGCCCCCACCGACCCCCCGAGCGGGGGGCTGGAGGCGGAGCTGGAGCACCTGCGCCAAGCGCTGGAGGGCGGCCTGGACACCAAGGAGGCCAAGGAGAAGTTCCTGCACGAGGTGGTCAAGATGCGCGTCAAGCAGGAGGAGAAGCTGAGCGCCGCCCTGCAGGCCAAGCGCAGCCTGCACCAGGTGAGGCAGCTGCCGCCTGGGACAGAGGGCTCGTCTGTGGGACAGGCTTCGGGGCCTTTCCTGAGCCTCAGTTCTAGGAGGAGGTGCCGCCGGGCCCCACACAGGGTGTCTGCGCGGCTCAGCACGGAGGTGCCAGGCACAGGCAGGGCCACCCTCGCCCCCTGAGCGGGGCAGACGCGGCAGGGCCACCTGTGGGTCCGGAGCTCAGCAGCCCCCCAGGCGCGGCCCCAGGCTCGGTCCCCGGCCTGCCGGCTGCTGCTCTGACGAGCGGGGAGGCTGCGAGCAGTGTTCCCAGCGCCTGGGCGGGCGGGCGGGGCCTCACACCAGCTCTGGTGAATTCACACCTCTGCTGGCGTCTGGCAGCTCGGGGACAGCTTCACACGTGGGCTGCCAGCACACACAGCCCTGCGGTCTCGGTCTGAGAGCCGGAGGCAGGCGCCGCTCTGCATGGAGTTCAGGCATCGGGCTCTGCGCTCTGCCGCCCCCTCCCCAGCGCCCTCCGGCCCAGCCTGGTCCAGTGACGTCCCACGTGCATGTTGACACGTGTTTGCAGGGTCCCTGGTGACCGGCCGGAGCAGCCGGGAAGAGGTTGCCTCCATCTGGCTCGGTGCGCCTGCCGCTGGAGCTGAGGGAACCCCTGGCTGCACAGAAGCCCAGGGCTGGCACCGTGGGCAGAGGGGGCGCGGGAGAAGGCGGCCCGGGCCCCACAGCGGCTTCTGGTGCAGGAGCCTCTGGGCCAGACCCCAGGCTCAGGGTGCTGGTGAGAGTGGAGCCCTGGTGCGCGGGCTGAGAGCCTAGGCCGAGGGACCTGTGGGGACCCGCCAGGGTGAGGGAGACAGGAGGGTGTGAGGCAGAGGGTGTGGCCCAGGGGTGGCACCTCCTGGGTCACAGATGCCAGGAGGGCGGGCAGGTGTGTGTGTGTGCATGTGCATGTTTGTGTTTATGCACACGTCCATGTTTCTATGTGTGTGTGCGCGTGTCTGTATGCATTTGTGTCTGTGCATGCATGTATGTATTTTTGTGTGTGTATGCGCACACTTGTCTGTGTGTGTCTGTGGGGTGCTGTGTGGGTTAGGGGACGGGCGGGCGGGGGCCGCGGGCGGCGGCAGGCGGTGACCCGCGCCTCCCCAGGAGCTGGAGTTCCTGCGTGTGGCCAAGAAGGAGAAGCTGCGGGAGGCCACGGAGGCGAAGCGCAACCTGCGGAAGGAGATCGAGCGCCTCCGCGCCGAGAACGAGAAGAAGATGAAGGAGGCCAACGAGGCGCGGCTGCGCCTCAAGAGGGAGCTGGAGCAGGCGCGGCAGGTCCGGGTGTGCGACAAGGGCTGCGAGGCCGGCCGCCTGCGCGCCAAGTACTCGGCCCAGGTGCGCGGGGCGGCCGGGGCCACGGGGGGCGGCCGGTGTCCTGCGCTGTGGGCAGTCCGGCGGGCAGCGGGCTGGGCAGCCTCCGTCCTGGGGCCCTGTGTGCCCGGCGGTGGCCGCTGGGTGTGGCGGCACCGGAGGCTCCCGGCCGCTGACGGCCGGGCCGTGGGGCTGACGCCGGTTCCCTTGCAGATCGAGGACCTGCAGGTGAAGCTGCAGCACGCGGAGGCCGACCGCGAGCAGCTGCGGGCAGACCTGCTGCGGGAGCGCGAGGCCCGGGAGCACCTGGAGAAGGTGGTGAAGGAGCTGCAGGAGCAGCTGTGGCCGCGGCCCCGCCCCGACGCCGCCGGCAGCGAGAGCGCCACCGAGCTGGAGCCCTAGCGGGCCGTCCCGTCCGTTCGGACCAGCGGGGAGGGCGGGCGGGCGGTCCCACGCCGCCGCGGGCCCTGCCTGGAGGGCTCTGGGGGGCCGCCCTCCTCCCAGCCCAGATAGCACAACGTCTTACTGTGCCTACAACCAAGCAAGTGTTTGCAACCACATCCTTTTGGAATCCAGAGCAAATTTTCTACTGGCCACAACGTTCAGGCGCAAGCCGGGCCCGCAGCCGGACCGGCCGCCGGGCCACGGCCTCCGCTTGCCGGGACACCCCAACGTTCACACTTTTGTTATAAGCTATTTAAAACCAATAAGGAGACTTGACATTCAGAAAAAAAGAAAAATCACCATGTTTTTTAACGACTCACTTTTAAAGCCCCACCACCACGCGACGCATCGAGGACCCAGGAGCCGGGCCGCCCGGCGAAGCCATCCAGCTCACGGCCACGGCCACGGCCATGGCCACGCGGACGCGCAGGGTCCCCTCCAGAGTCTATTTTTTCAGCGATGAGGACCCGGTCTCCGTGCTGCCGCGGGGAGCGTGCACCCGCCCTGAGCTGACACTGCCGCCTTAGCCGCCGCCCTCGGCGCCCGGGGGCCGGAGGGGACCGGACTGTCCGTGCCGCCGACCGCGGGCGGCGCCTGCCCCTCCGCCGAGGCCGCAGCATCGGAACAAACAGCATTATTCACTCTTTCTTTCCTCCTTGTTTGTTCATTTAAACGTCCACTTAGAACTGCACTTTGTCAAAACCTTCCCCGTTTTTATCCCCCAGTGGACTGAGGTTTTTACTCTCCAGACGCCGAACCCGGTCCCGGAGCAGGTCCCGCCTGCGCGGTGTCTGGACCCTCTGGTGCTCGGTGGAACAAGGGAATCACAAGGAAACGAAGCGCAAAAACTGAACTCGGGGGGTAGCTCTGTGCCTTCCAGCATCCTGTACAGCGAATCCCCACTTTTTACCCCCAGATATCCGTCTCCATAGCGATCGAATCTGCCACTATAAAATAAGTTCCTTGCATTTATTCCAGATAATCTCGTTTACTCTCCGCTGTTGTTTATGCAAACCGTAGAAGGTTCTCTGCGCCCAGGCCGGAAGTGACGTCCCAGGAGACGGGCCGCCCGCTGAGACGAGAAGATCTGCCGGAGTCTCCCGCCTCCGCCTGACGCCACGGCCACGGCCACGGCCACGCGGAGAGCAGAGCGGTGCGCGGGCCCCGTGGGCCTGGGTGTACGGGCCCGGGGCTGCCGGGCCCTCTGAAGTGCAATGCAAAGGGGACTCCGTGTTTCGCAGCGAGCGTTTGGGTTTCGTTTCATTCTTTCCGCTTTGTTGTTCTTTTGCAGTTATTAAACCTGTATGCATGGAATCGAGCCTCTGCCACACGTATACCCTCGATGGGCATTATTACCGTGCCATGTAAAGGTCAGTTAGGCAACTCGCAGAATGCTGTGTCAGCCCTGTTTTTCCAGAGTTGTGTTTCTTTTCAGTCACTTTTCAAGGGAAACTAAACGGTGTAGCTGGAGCTTTGTGCGTGTTGGTGTGCTTCTGTGCGGCCGCGCTGCCGGGCGAGCCGCGGGGAGACCGAGGCGGCGGGCGGGCCCCAAGGCAGACGCACGCGGCTCCTCCCACTTGGACACGAGGGAGCCACCTGTCCGTCCCCTGGCACCGTCCCCTGCAGCCTCCCATGCCTCTGCCAGCTGTGTCCCCACACGGCATCCAGCAGAGCTAGACGCAGCGGCTTCTGGTCCCACCCTGGCCCGGAGGGAGTGATGGGGCGGGAGGCACAAGGCTCCCCTTCACCAGCAGCTCAGGCTTCCTGGCAGCTCCCTGGGCAAGGCCGGGCCCCACCCCCTGGTGCCGCTGCGCCCTGTCCTTCCCCAGGGGAGGCGGGTCCTGTGGGCAGGCGACCAGGTGTGACGCCTCCGTCCGGCGAGGGTGTGCGGCCTGGTGCTCACCGGCCTGCCCGAGCGGCGACCCGAGGGAAACGACAGCAATAACCACCGGGCAGCTCCCGCCGCCTTGCTGACCTGACGCCGTCACCCCGGGGCCGCCCGTGTGCGTGGGTCCCAGAAGCCCTCCTGCCCGGAGCCGCCTGTGCAGCTCCTCGGTGGGCGGGGCGGGGGCCCTGCCCGGGGCCCGGGGGAGGCGTGTCCTCCCGAAGGCGCGTCCCCAGGACCTTCCCGGATTAAGGAACAGACACGGCTCCCATCCCGCCAGGAGCACCCACGCGTCCCCCTCTCCTTTGCTGCTGCTAACGACAATATGACTTACTCTACGATTCGAAAGCTATTTTTATGTAATTAATGTATGCGCTCTTGTTTATAAATGCCTGATTTAAAGAGAAAGAGAAGCTTGGCCTGTCTGTCGCCTTCGCCCGCCCGCTCGCCTCTCGGCGCGCCTGCCCCCTGGTGGGGGGGGGGTGCTGCCAGGCCCATCCTCCCCCCAGGTCACCGAGCTGCGCCTCCTGGTGCCGGGGCATCAGCTCGAGGCCCAGCCTCCATGGGCTCGGAGGCCTCCCCCCGCGGAGTGTGTCTCGCACGGGGAGGGGAACGGTGTCCGAACCCTGACCCCAAACCCTGGGGAGAAGCAGGGCCCTGCACGCCACCTCGCTCCCCAGAGGCTCGCAGACCCGCTGTGCTGGGCCCGGGTGCCCGGCCTCCCCGCCCGGCCCAGCCCCTCACTGGTCCTCCGGGCGGTGGGAGCGCAGGCGCAGCCGGCACAGGCCCGTCTCCTGCAGCTGGGAAGCCCCCCAGCCTGGCCCAGAGTGTGGGTGCACACAGATTCTTCTCCCCACCGCCACGTGTCCCCAGGTGCAGGGTCCTGGCCACGTGTCCTGAGAAGGCCACGCCGCCCCCAGGCTGGCCAGACCGCGTTGAGGGGAACCGGGGTTCCAGAGAGAGCTCCCACACCCCTGGCCACTTGCTTATGGCCCCTGCCAGGCCAGAACCTGGGCCCCAGCAGCTGCCCCGGGGGGTGAGGCCCAGGGTGGGAGGCAGGCCGGGTGGCAGGGCGGCTGCTGCCCCCTTCCTGCTGTGCTTGGACCCGGATCCCTGCCTGGGGTCCTGGGCACCACGGTGTGGGGGGCAAACGCACCTCAGTGGGCACAGCTGAGGCCCCGCTATCCTCTGCCCCAAGAGCACCCCCCACTGCAGCTGCCCCCAGGGCCACCTGGGCCTGGACCCCACCAGAGGCAGTGAGGGGGTCTCCTGCCTGACCACGGCTCTGCCTGGGTGCGGGGGTCCCCCCTGCTCTGTCCACCAGGAGGGCTGCCCTCCCACCGTCTTCTGAGGTCTCTAGTGGACGCCTGTCCATTGCAGCCGATCGGGGTCCCAGCCCCTGCAGCCATGGGGAAGCCGAGGGGAGGGGCAGCGTGACCATGTGACCCGTGGGCTCGTCCGACCAGCTGCCATCGCTGGGCTCTGGTGTCCACCCAGGGCCGAGGCCCGTCCTGAGTTGTGCCTGGCCCTTCCCCAAGCCCCTGGCCCTGGCTCCCCACTCAGGTCCAGATGCCACTCCTCCCCCCTCCAGAGGGTGGGGCCATGGGGAGGAGGGGGGGATGGTGGGGAGGTGGATCTGGACAAGAGGCGTGTCCCGGGGAGGCCAGCCCAGCGGGAGGCCCTGGGCAGGTGGCGTGGGTCCATGTGGCCAGCGGAGGGGGCAGGGGGGGGGGGGGGGGGGCGGGCGGCTGGAGCCGGGCCCACGGCGGCTTCCCGGCTCCGGCTCTGCCGCCTGCCCAGGCTCCACTTCGGTCTAAGTTCACAGCATTAAAAAGGTCCCCACCCAGGGCAGGCAGCATGGGAGTCACCTGGTGTCAGAACCCCCTTCCCAGAGCCATTCTGGGGGGTCAGAGACCCTCCTGTGGGTTTAGGGGAGAGGTCAGCACAGGAGAAACCCCTCCCCCGGGTCCTGAGCAGCCCCTGCCTCCAGGGCAGGGGAGAGGGCACAGGTTTGGAGGGGACAGCGGCCCCACCTCCGTTTCTGGGCCAGCAGCCTGGGCAGGGTCCCCGTACCCCCCGGATCTTCCTGCAGCCCAGCCTCCCTGCCTTCTCCCTCTGGGGCAACTCCTGCCCCCCAAGACCTGGGGGTGAACTGAGCCCTGAATGGGGGTGCTCCTGGGAGCCTCCTGGGGTCCCTGTCACCCCCCCACCCCCAGCTTTCACTCTGCCTGCCACCTGCAGCCCGGCCACCCTCGCCCCCAGCTGTGCCCGCCTGCCTGACCTGTCCTGTGACGTGTCCTCTGAGGGGGTCCCCGGACCCCGCCCAGACCCTGTGGTCAGGGCAGCTGGGGGCGGAGGACTTGAGCCCCATGGGGAGGCGGTGTGGGGCGCGCCCTCCTGAAAAGAGGAAGCCGCCGCCCACTCACAGCAACAGCTGCACGGCCCCCTCCCCCAGCCGGCCTCAGGGTGGCCTCAGCCTGCACCCCACCCACACCCCCGCCTGCCCCTCTCCCTCCCTCCCTCCGGCCGGTCTACCACAGGGTCACTCCTTCTGCCCGAGCCTGCTCAGGGGTTCAGGAGTCCCAGGCCCTCCCCGTGCTCCGCAGGCCAGGCCTCTGGCAGCTGTGCCCGGGCCCGGGCTGGCCCACCCCGCTCCACTGGCCCTCAGAATGATGGGGCTGGGACCCTGCTGGGCGGAGCTTGGATGGGACATGGAAGCCACTGCCCTGCGGGGGCAGCCGCCCCCGCCCTCCTGCCGGCCCGCCAGCCCCCGCCCCCTGCGTAAGGATGACGTGTGCCCTGCAGGCCCCGCGCACACGCCATCTGTGCCCAGGCCAGTGCCAGGGCCGGGGCCGCGGCTCGGCCCGGGAGCAGGTGGCCCCGCCGCGGGGGCGGACGGGCAGGTGGGCCAGCCCGGCTTGTCTCCGGAGCGTCCTATGCTGGGCAGGTGTCCGGCCGGCTGGGCGGGCCTCGCGCTCTGCCCGGCCTGGCAGTGTCTGTGCAGGAAGCTGGCCCAGGCGCTCGCCCCGTCCCTCCTGCGGCCGCGAGGCTGTTCCAGGAACCTCCAGGGACAGGGCACCTTGTGAAGGAGGCAGCTCGAGGGCGGCTCGGGTTCCCGTCCCAGAAGGCCCCCGCGGAGGACACGTGTCCGGGTCCCCTGAGGCCGGCTCCGGGCCCAGGCCGGGTGGGGAAGGGGGGGAGGCAGGAGGGGCGGCCTGGGCCCAGCTCGTCCCCTGGGCACTGAGCTGCGGCCCAGACAGGCCCCGTGTCCTCCCGGAGGCCGGTGTGCACAGGGAAGCCGGATGAATCAGCTTGCACGCAGGTCTGGGGGTGTAGCCCTCCCCTGCTCCCCCAAACCTGGCCAGGCCCCTTGGGCAGTTGGTGTCGGCCGGGCCCACTCCCGTGACCACCGACTCCCTGGCTACCCACCTTGGGCTCCATCCTCCATCTTGGAGGGGTTCCCAGGTCCACAGTGGGGGTGGGAGTGGGTAGGCAGTCATGGGGAGACCCCAAAAGCAGGCTGCACCGAACGCCCTCCAAAGCCACGCCTCTCAGACTCTGGACCAGACGGGCGCGGCCCTCCTGGGCCTGGCAGCGGGGACTGGGGGGCTGGGTCAGGCCTGCAGCTGTGCCTCGAGTTCACGTCTCCGTCTGAGACCCCGGTGCTGGGCTGGAACCAGGTGGGCAAAGCCTGGGCACCCAGGCTGGTCCAGGTGGGTGTCCTTCCCTTCTCCACGGTGCCCCGGGGCGGCAGGGGCCGGGCGGGGGGCGAGTTCCCAGGGGGTCTACCCCCAGCCGGCGGCTCCTGTCCCGGCCTGGACACCCAGACTTCTTGTTTCTAAGGAAAAAGCCCAGAAAAGGCTCCTGCAGGCTGGGAGGCGGAGGGGGCCCGGAGGAGGCTGCAGGGGTGTGGCCCCTCCGGGCGGGCCATCTGGCCCCCTCCACCGGTGCTCCCGGCGGGGGCAGGGCTTGCCGGGACAGGCCGAGTGTGGGCCCGGCTGTCGGGCTCCGGTCAGGGCGGCCACCCACCACCCATGCGCCCCACGCTGGGGGGCGGGCAGGGGCGCCGGGCAGAAGGCCCCGCCTTGGGGCCCAGGGCGGGCGGGACAGGACCTCCGGGGGTTAGAGTCCCGGTTCCCAAATTTCCCGGATTCCCGCGCCTCCGGCCGGAAGCCGGGCGGGGGGGGGGGGGCGCGCTGGTGCCCCCGCGGGGCCCCTGGGGAGCCCCAGCCCGGCCCCGGCGCCTTCCACGCGGGCCGGCCCTCCGGGCCTCGCCCAGCGGGCGCAGCTCTTCCCCCGGGCGCCCCGGACCGGGGCGGGGGGGGCGGGGTCCCCGGGAGCGGGGCGAGGGGGGGTAGCCCGGGGAGGGGGGCGGCGGGGGGCGGGGTCCCCCGGGAGCGGGGCCGGCGGGGGGCGGGGGTCCCCCGGACCGGGGCGGGGGGGTGGAACCCGGGGGGGGGGCCGGGGTCCCCGGGAGCGGGGCCGGCGGGGGGCGGGGTCCCCCGGAGCGGGGCCGGCGGGGGGCGGGGTCCCCCGGAGCGGGGCCGGCGGGGGGCGGGGTCCCCGGGAGCGGGGCCGGCGGGGGGCGGGGTCCCCGGGAGCGGGGCCGGGACGGCGCTGCCTCCCCCGCAGCGCCCGTTGCGCCCCCGCCGCCCGTTTCACTTCCCGGCGTTGCCCGCCGCCGCCCGGGCCGTGCAAACGCCCATCCACCAGCCTCGACGGCGGCCCGCGGCTTCCGGCCGGCCTGGGGGGCGGGGGACAGGGCGCGGGGACCCCTGGGCGCCCGCCGACAGCAGCCTCCGGGCCGGCGCCGGCCTGACCCCCCCCCCCTCCCCCGCCTCCCCAGCTGACCGGCCTGTGGGCGGGGCCTGTGGTGTAAGGGGCGGGGCCTGTTGTGGGGCGTGGTCTGTGATGGGCGGGGCTTGTGGGCGGGGCGGGGTTGCGCGGGCCCAGGGCTCCGGGTGTCACTGGGAGGCCCAGCGCGGGGCTGGGGCTGGAGGGGGGTCTGAGCCGGAGAACCGCCCCGTCCTGCGGGGGGCGGGGTGCTGGGGGAGCGGGGCCTCGGGATGGGGAGGTGACTCGGGGCCCAGGCTCTGCCCTCGGGTCCCGCAGGGGGTCCATCTGTCCTCGCACCGCCGATGGGTGCTGAGGAAAAGCTGGGTGGGAAACGCTGAGGGCGGGCGATGGGGTGGCGCCAGGGCGGGTCGAGAAGGACTGTCTGGTGTTGGGCTGATGCTGGGCTCTTCCTTCCACGTAAGAGCAGTTCCCACGTGGACCCACCTCCTGAGGACCAGCCCATCTCCATTCCACCCAGAGTCACTGACCACCCATCTGTCTGCTGTCCATCTGTACTCATCCATCCACTAATCTACCCACCTACCCATCCACCCATCAATCCACCCATCCACCCACCCACCCATCCACCCAACAATCCATCCATCCACCTATCCACCCATCCATCCACCTAACCATCCACTAATCTACCCACCTACCCATCCACCCATCAATCCACCCACCAATCCATCCACCCACCCACCCATCCACCCAACAATCCATCCATCCACCTATCCACCCATCCATCCACTTAACCATCCACTAATCTACCCACCTACCCATCCACCCATCCACCCACCCATCCACCCATCAATCCACCCATCCACCCACCAATCCATCCACCCATCCACCCACCCACCCATCCACCCAACAATCCATCCATCCACCTATCCACCCATCCATCCACTTAACCATCCACTAATCTACCCACCTACCCATCCACCCACCAATCCATCCATCTATCACCTACCTCATTCCTCCACCATCCATTCACCATCCACCACTCATCATCCACCCACCACCCACCCATCCACCACCCACCCAATTCGTCCATCTACCCACCCACCCACTCCCACCCTCTGGTTTCCATCCGCTCCGCGTCCCTCCAGCTGGTCCCTGTCATCCTCCTGCTCCCCCCCCCCCCTGGCTTGTCCCCAGCGCCTCCCGCACGGCCTGGCGGGCAGGTGCTCCAGATCCTCGCTGACCTGCCCAGGTGAGCCCCTCCCGGAGGCCACGCCGGGCTGGGCGCTGGGGCCACACCGTGAGCAAGACGCCCACCTTCGGGAGACGCCGACTGACAGCGTGCAAAGGCAGCAAGAGGAACCGGAGCGAGTGGGAGGAGCCTGGGGGTGGGTGAGCGAGGCCAGGAGGCCTCCTGGAAGGGCCCAGGCAGGAGTGGGGCAGCAGGAGAGGAGGCCGAGCCCGGGGGGGGGGGGGGGGGGGGAGCCCGGGTCCTGGTAGCCATTGGGTGTCTCCTGCCCCCTGCTGGGAAGGGGGAGGGGGGTTTGGAGGTGGGATCAGACCTGGGGCCACAGAGGAGAGGGCAGCGGTGTGATGTGGCCGCACTGGTCTGGGGGATGGGCGGGATCTCGGCTTGGGGCGTTCAGTCTGCCTGTCACCCGTCGTGGCTGCGCCCCGGCCGTCGTGGCCTGGAGCTGGGGGGAGGCCGGGGGAAGGCCGGGGAGGGGGACCCTGAGCCACTGGAGCCGTGGGGCCTGGTCAGAGGGTGCAGGGGCCCAGAGGGGGCGGTGCTGAGGAGGAACAGCCCCGGGAGGAAGCGGGGCTCAGTGAGAGGATGGGGGACGGGGGCCAGCGGTGTGGAGCCGGGCTCTCTGGGCAGGCGAGCCCACGGGGAGGGGCGTCCGACGAGGGGCGTCCCTTCGCGCTGAGCACGTGTCCGGCTGGGCCCCCGCGCCCCCCGCCATCCTTGCTGGTCCTGTGAGGCTCGGACGGGCAGCCCATTTCTTGAAAACCAACCCCCGACACTGGCCCCAATGTCTCCCTGGGGGGCGGCTCCCAGTGCCCACCGAGGCCGGGCGGGGGGTGAGTGGGCAGCTGGGCCGGCCTCGCTGCAGGACGGGGAGCGTGGGGGTGCGGACGCCCCCGGAGCGGCCACCACGGGGCAGGCGTGACGGGACTTCGGGGCTCGGTCGTCAGCGTTGAGAACTTTATTAACACAGCGGCTCTGGGGCCTGGGGCCCTGGGCCCCGGGGAGGGGAGAGGGTGGCGCCCGGGAAGCTGGGTGCCGTGTCTGCCCTCAGGAGGAGGTGGTGTCCGGAGTGGGCGCTGGTGCCCGGGGGAGGGCGGCCCTCCCGGCTCCGGGCTCCGGGGCCTTCTCCCTCGCGGACACCCGGAGGTGCTTGAAGGCCGTGGGCAGCCTGTGGCCCAGGAATGGGGGGTCGGTCACGTCCTGGACCATGATGACGTATTCCCCTGGGGGAGACGGGAGGGGCTCCAGCTGGCTCCACGGCCTCTGCCTGCCGGCGGCTGCCCACCCCGCTGGCACCCGAGCCTCCCGCCCGCCCCCACCTGCCCAGCTGCTGGGGCACACGGTGAGGAAATGCATTTGGGCCCTGGCTGGTGTGGCTCAGTGGATAGAGCATCAGCCTGCGGACTGAAGGGTTCTGGATTTGATTCCCGGTTGGGGCACAGGCCCCGGTTGCAGGCTCGATCCCCAGTGTGGGGCGGGCAGGAGGCAGCTGATCCACGATTCTCATCATGGATGCTCTCTCTCCCTTCCTCTCTGAAGTCAATCCTATATAATAAAAGGCTAATATGCAAATGGACTGAATGGCAGAACAACCGGTCACTATGACGTGCACTGACCACCAGGGGGCAGATGCTCAGCTCAGGAGTGTGTGTTTCCGGGGGGGGGGGGGGGTGCGGGCCGGAGCTGCCAGCACAGCCTCCAGGTGGGAGCCTCTCCTGCCACGGGGCAGTTGGCACCCCCCCGAGGCCCCGGATGCTGACGGGCGCAGGCTGGGCTGAGCCCCCCCACCATGCACGAATGTCGTGCACCGGGCCTCTAGTAAAAACAGTTTTTAAAAAGAAATGAATTTGGCGAGTAACCCCTGCACCCTCAGGACTCAGGCTCCGGGGAGGGGGGCAGAGCTGGGGCCGGAGGGGAGGGTGGGCTGTGGGGGGGCCGGGCAGGCCCGTGGGGGGCGCGGGGGGCAGAGAGCCCCTCCCACTGAGGGCCACGTGGCTGGACCCTTCAGAAAACACCTCCCCCTTTAGGAGAAAAGGAATTCGTTTCCTCTAAAGTGTTTTTCCAAATCATCGCACTCCGAAGGCCTGGCTGCCCGTTCTGAAGCCTCGCCCCCCTCGGCGGGGGAGCAGGGTGTGGGGGGTCGTGGGGAGCAGGGTGTGGGGGGTCGTGGGGAGCAGGGTGTGGGGGTCGTGGGGAGCAGGGTGTGGGGGGTCGTGGGCACTGTCGGGGGGTCGCAGGCACTGTCGGGGGCCGCTCTGCTCGGCAGCAGTGTGGGGGTCGTGGGGAGCAGGGTGTGGGGGGTCGTGGGCACTGTCGGGGGCCGCTCTGCTCGGCAGCAGTGTGGGGGTCGTGGGGAGCAGGGTGTGGGGGGTCGTGGGGAGCAGGGTGTGGGGGTCGTGGGGAGCAGGGTGTGGGGGGTCGTGGGCACTGTCGGGGGGTCGCAGGCACTGTCGGGGGCCGCTCTGCTCGGCAGCAGTGTGGGGGTCGTGGGGAGCAGGGTGTGGGGGGTCGTGGGGAGCAGGGTGTGGGGGTCGTGGGGGGCAGGGGGGGGGGGGTCAGAAAGCACTCCGCTCTGCAGCCAGGACGCTCCGGAGAGCTCCAAAGTTGGGGAAACATAAAAAGGAAAATAAGGACTAACAGAAAGTAAGGTTGCCATGGAAACCGCCCTCTCCCTCCCGGCCTCGCGGTTGCACTCACACAGGAATGCGCTGAGCGGGCGGAGGCGGCCTGGCCGGGACCCGCGGTGCCCGGGCAGGACCGGGGACACACACACACACACACACACACACACACACACACACACGACACGGGCCGGTGGGCTGGGCCCGGTCGGTTCCTGCGGAGCCGCGGGCGGGGGCTTGGGGCGGGGGGGGGGGCCGGGCGGCGGGGGAGGGCCGCATTCCAGCCGGGCGAAAAGGGGCCGGCAATGCGTTTCGTCTAGGTGTCGCCGGGAGCGCGGCCGCGGGCAGGGGCACCGCGGGGGGTGCAGTGGGCAGTGGCCCAGCCCGGCCGCCTCTGACCCCGTCCTGAGGCCGCGGGACGGAGGGAGCCTGGCTGGGGCCACCGCCGGCCGCAGAACCTCCTGCCTGGCGCCCCACGAGCCAGCTGGAAGCCCCTCCTCAGGCCCCGGCAGTGGGGCGACCCCACCCTGGCCCCCAAGACGGCAAGGGGCGCCCCCTCCCGCCCTCACCCCTCTTCAGGCACGCCTGGGTCCTGAAACGGGGTGATCCCAGAGCTGCACCCACACAAGGACCTTCCTGGGGGGCTGGGCTTGGACCCAGACACCCCTGGGCTGAGGGCGCCCCTCCCTCCCCCCCACAGCCTCTGGGGACCCTGCCTCTGGGGGTGTCAGGCTGGGCAGCCAGGGTGCCTGCCCCGCCCCACGGCCCGGCCTGCAGCCCGTTCGGAGGAGGGAGCAGGCGCCCGCCTCCCAGCGGGGACAGATGATGGCTGGGTGGGGCGTCCGCCCCCCACGGCCCCCCTACCTGGGAGCGCCTCGGTCCCCGGCTCTGCCTTGGCCGCCCCGTCCGGCCTGCGAAGAGGAGGGAGGCCCTGAGTGCAGCCGCGTATGTGGCACCCCTCCCCTGCCACGCACACACACGCACACGCACACGCACACGCACACGGGGCCACAGTGCGGGGCCCTGGAAGGTCGGAGGGCACCCGTGGCTGTTCTGGCCCCCAGGCCGCCCCCCTCAGGGTCAGCGCGTCGGCCCCTCTGGCGTGCCCGGCCCTGAGGAGAGGGGCCACGAGGCCGGGCCACGTTCTGCCCTCGGCCTTGGCATCTCGCTGTCTGAACACCAACGTGGCACAGACAGCGGTGGCCAGAGGGACAAGCCCACCCCCTGGCCGGCTGACCAGTGACCAGAAGCGGCGGCGGGCACAGGGCTCCGCGGGGGCCGGGCCCAGGGCAGGGCTGCCCTCCGGGAACCAAGGTCACTGCCGCCTGGCAGGGCGGGGACGAGGGGCGGCCGGCCGGCGTCTCTGCGGTCCCCGGTGGGCAGCTCCAGACCCGCCTGGCCCGTCCGTCCGGAGCAGAGGGCTTTGGGGCCGTGGTCACTGGGCAGGAGCGAAGGGCCCGCCCGCCGGCCCCCTGGGTCAGCGGCCCGCGGACTGCCTGTGCCCGGGGATCTGACGCCCGTCCTCAGGGACCAGGCAGGGGCGGAGATTGGGTGCTTTGAGGGGGCGCCCGGTCCTTGGCCCCGGGCAGCGGCTTGGGTGGCGCAGAGGCCCCGGGTGTGACGGGCTGGCTCTGCCCTGAACGGCCCCCCAAAGGCCTTGGAGGGAGCCAGGAGCCCCCCCTCCCCATGGCCCCCCTTCTAGCCGTCAGAGGGCAGGGACTGGGGCTCCCGATGGCTTGGCGACCAGCCAGGCTGGCCCTGGCCGAGCTGCAATACCACATGGTGATAAAAATTTAAAGACAAAAGATTTAAAAATTCCTTCGCCTCGGCTCGGCCCCGGAGCCACGTTTGGGGTCGGACGTGTGGGGAGGGGCGGCGCCGAGAATAACCGAACGGTTATGAGGAGCCGAGGTTTTTACGGGGCCCGCCGGGCGGAGAGGGGGACCCCCGGGCGGCGAGGGGCCCGCCAGGCGGCGAGGGGCCGGGGCGCAGAGCGGGAGACGCCGGAGGCCCCACGCTGAGGTTCCCGCGGAGGCGGCTGGAGCCGGGGCGGCCGTGGGAGCCCGACACCCGGACTGGGCACCGGCTGTGTGCACAGCGCGGAGCGAGCCCCCCGCCTCCCGAGAGGCTGGGCTGGGCCGACATGGGGAGGGCGGGCGGGGCCTGGGGTTTCCGCTTGGGCCGGACGAGGCTCAGTCCGGGGCTGAGTGTCACCCAGGAACCCAGGTCGCTGGTTCAGTCCCGGTCAGGGCAGGTGTGGGGGGGTGCAGGAGGCAGCCCGCCCAGGACTCTCTCGTCATCGGTGTTTCCGTCTCCCTCCTCTCCCTCCAAACCCAGGAGACACTGAGGACACAGCTCCTCTGGGCCGGCCGGGCCTGTCCCCGTGTTTCCCGGCTGGGGGTTTGGCTCCCACAAAACGTGGGAATGTTTCTGTTGTTTCCTTCCGTGTTCCCGGCTCCTCCCTCCCCCACCTCGGAGCCGGAGTCCTCCCACAGCTCCGCCGCCTCTGGCCGGCAGCATCCTCCGTCCATCCGTTCGTCCGTCCGTCCTGGAGTTCCCGCGTCCTCCCCCCTTCCGCTGACCCCGCCCCCCGCCGTCTCCCGGGAGCTGCTGTGACCTCTCCACATCCTGCTCCTCACACCTCCGCCTCCCCACCGCCACGCCGCTTCCTGAACACGGCGTCCGGCCGTGCCCCCTCCCGGCCCGCGCCCCCTCGTCCCCCCCCGCCCGGCCGTGCCCCGTCCCGGCCCACACCCCCTTTCCCCCCCGCCCACCCGGCTGTGCCCCCTCCCGGCCCACCCTCCCAACCGCCACGCCGCCTTCCTGAACACGGCGTCCGGCCGTGCCCCCTCCCGGCCCGCGCCCCCTCGTCCCCCCCCCGCCCGGCCGTGCCCCCTCCCGGCCCGCGCCCCCTCGTCCCCCCCCCCGCCCGGCTGTGCCCCCTCCCGGCCCACCCTCCCAACCGCCACGCCGCCTTCCTGAACACGGCGCCCCTCGTCCCCCGCCCCTCGTCGTCCCCCCCCGCCCGGCTGTGCCCCCTCCCGGCCCGCGCCCCCTCGTCCCCCCGCCCTCTCCCGGCTGCGGGCCAGGCGGCTGCGGTTGGCTGGGCTCCTGGTCAGGGTCCCCCTCCTGGCACTCCCCTGGTGCCTGGGCCAGGCGCTGAGACCCCCGGGGGCCGGACACCCTGTGTTCTTGTGTTTTTGGTGCTGTACAGGGTCCTGCCCCACGACCCGCGTGGCTCAGGGGCTGAGCGTCGATGTGGGGACCAGGAGGTCCCGGTTCGATTCCCGGCTCCAACCCCAGTGGGGGCGCGAGCAGGAGGCGGCCGATCCCGGAGTCTCTCTCATCATCGATGTTTCTCTCTCTCCCTCTCCCTTCCCCTCTGAGATCAATAAAAACATTAAAAGGAGGAGGAGGGGAGGAGAGCTCAGCGCGGCTGGCGGGAGCCGGGAGGCAGAGCCGCCGTGTTCCGTACGGACGCCCGGCGCCGGAGCTGGGCCTGCGGAGAGGAAACGGAGGCGGCGGGAGGCGGCGGCCTCCTGCACACACAGCCTCCTCGTCTATGTGGCCCTGGGGGACTGCTCCTCTTTTCTTAAAGAAACTGGGCAGCAAATAAAGACTGGACGTCACATGTGACTGCATGACACCAAGAACTGGTCACAGTTTCTACTGTGCAAAGGGACGGGCCCCGGGAGAGGTGCGAGACTCTGGCTGAACGGACATAACATTTCTGCTGGTTAAGAACGTTTGGTTGTGGTAACCGACCTTCAGCTGAAACAGAAAACTGCCTGGGAAACATGAAAACATGCTTCTCATGCCCGTGGTAACGCAGCCCCATGGGTGCTGCTGGTATAATGGTAAATAATGTCAAGCTCCGTTTCCTAGCAATTATTAGTTATACAAGGGAGTTGTGTCTGCAGGAGGAGGAGGAGGAGACAGAGTGGGACCCTTTGGGGCTTTGCTGTTACGCTTTGCCACGCGGGTTTGAGGGGGTTTACTCCCCCGTGAGGGGCCCGGTGCCCACACCCCGTGGCCTCCGGGCCCTGACGGCCTCTGTGGGTCAGGGCCTCAGGGCTGGCGGACGAGGGTGAGCACACGGACCCCAGCGGGGCCGTGGCCCTGGCGTGGCCATGCACCCGGCGGACCTGGGGCCGCAGCCACGCTCCATGCCTGGCTCAGGCCTCCGAGTGGCCGGGCCGGGATACCCACGGCGGAGCCGGGAGCGGAGGAACCGCCACCACTGCGAGGGGGCGGAGCCGGCCCGCACAGCCGGCCCTCCGCTGGGCAGCTGGGACGCCGAGGCTCGGAGCCGCGTTGGACCCGGGCCGAGCGCACGGTGGGCGGCGAGAGGGGGGGCCCTTCCCTGGTGAGCCAAGCCCGTGCGCCCCAGCCCAGCCTGCCCTGGGGTGTGGCCTGGCGCCCGAGGTCAGACAGGCGGCCGTGCTGAGACCAGCTCAGCAGCCACGGCCCAGCCACCTGGGGGCAGGGGCTCGGCGTGGGTGTGCCCGAGGCCTGGCCTGGCGAGGGCCCCCGTGGCTGGCGAGGGAGGCCCCGCGGAGCCAGGGTCGGGCCCGCCGTGGGGGGCGCTCGCACAGCCTGTGGTCGCCGCGGTAACGGGGTTCACGTGGAGCGGGGAGAGCCCGCCCCAATCAGACACAACTGGGGAGCCAGGGCTCTCCCCGCCTGACCCGCCGCGGGGGCGCGAGGCCAGGCCTCTGTGGCGCCTCCCCGGGACCCCCAGAACCGGAGCCACAGCCCCGGGGCTCAGCCGGCCGAGGAGGCCCCTCTGTCCCTGGGGCAGCGGGGGGGGGGCCTCTTACCCGGCTCCGGGGTCCCAGGGGTCCCGGGGCCACGCTGAGCCTCCGAGTGAGCCCCCGTCCCTCCCGCACACACTCACACACACACACACACACACTCACACCCACACACACACACACACACACACCCACACACACCCACACACACCCACACACACACACACTCACACACACACACACACACACACTCACACACACACTCACACACACACACACTCACACACACCCACACACACACTCACACTCACACACACACACACACACACACACACACACACACACACCCACACACACACACACACACACACACACTCACACACACTCACACACACACACACTCACACACACACACACACACTCACACACACTCACACACTCACAAACACTCACACACACACACACACACTCACACACACACACTCACACACACTCACACACACACACACTCACACACACACTCACACACTCACACCCACACCCACACACACACACACACACACACACAGGCTAATGAGCCCCGCCTGGCCTGGGTGAGGGGTTGGCAGCGTTTGGGGGCCCCATCCCGGGGGCAGTGGGCTCCAGGCCCAGGGGAGCCTGCCGGCTGTTCTCAGTTTGGGGTACCGGTGAGTGGTGCCCCAATGACTGCCGGAGCACCCCCAGCCTCTCTGCGGGGTGCCCGCTCCAGCCCCGGGCCAGGCGGAGGCATTGCTGGCTAAGGGGTGGGGTGAGGGCGGCCAGCTGCTCCCCTGACCTGCTCCCCTCACCCGCGCTGGGTCGCACGGCACCCGCCCACCCGTCCTCTCTGAGCGCCCACCGCAGGCCCCGGCCGGGAGGGACGGGGACAGGCCACGGGCCTACAGCCTGGACGCCCTGTGGCTGCAGCCCCACGTCATGGCCCTTGGCCTCCCCCCATGTGGCTGCTGAGCTCCCAGGAGCTCCCCCGCTGGGCCCCCCAATTGGCCAGGACACTGCCCGGGCTCAGGCCCCCGTGGCCAGGAGGAGCCCCCTGACCGCACTCCCTGTGACCGAGGGGCTGGCACCCGAGAGGACAGGTGTCCTCTGGGGCCCGGGACCCTGTGGCTGCTGCCCGAGCTCCTGGGCCTGCAGGGCCGGCCGGTGGGCTCCTGCCCAGGCTGCTGTGCTCGGAGGCTGAGGGACGGCGGGTGTGTGTGTGTGTCCTGTGGCCAGGCTGTGGCGGGTGAGGAGTGGGCGCTGGCCCAGCCACGGGGGTCGGGGGGAGGCTGCGTTTGCTGTGATGCTCAGGGTCACCCCGGACCTGAGTGGAGGGGCCGCGGGCTGTGAGCCCCCAACACTGACCCAACAGAACCGCTAACCGGCTCCCCCTGTCGGCTAACGACCACGGAAGCGGCAGCCCCAGAAGGAAGTCCGGGTCACACCCGTTCTCCTCCGGGCGGGCGGCCGGGGTCTCTGCGGAGCCTCCCGCAGCCGTGGGCGAGGCGCGCGGCTTCCCTGGCCGTGGCCGTGGCCGTGGCCGTGGCCGTGGCGCGGAGCCGGCGGAGGGCTGTGCCGGCTCCGACCCCGAGGCCCCATCGGTTTAGGGGAAAGAGGCTCCCGGGGAGAGGCGGTGGAATCCAGGCCGGGCTTTGCGGCCCACACGTCGGCCTGTCATGTTGTGAAATTCCGTCATGTGCCAGGAATGTCTCCGCAGGAATGCTGGCTGCAACGGGCCTCCCTCCCGGAGCGGGAAGCGGTGACGGGCAGGCTCACCTGGCCCGGGGCGGCGGCCGGGCACCACGGGGACCACGTGGGGAGAGTGTGAAGCCCGTGGGCAGCGGGACAGCAGTCCTGCCCCCCCCCCCGCCATCTGCGCCCTTTCCCTGGCGAGGGGGCTGGCCCTGGCTTTGAGGGTCACCGGGCGGAGGAAGGGGCTCCTGGCCCGGCTGAGGCTGCTCGGAGGGCGAGAGGGCCGTGGCCGCCAGCCCGGTCAGCTCACAGCCCAGGACTCGTGGCCGAGGGACGGCCTTGTCCATGTGGGTCTCCCCCGTGGAGTGCGACCACCTGGTCGCTGCTTCTCCCTGGCCTGGACGGGGGCCGACCGGGAGACAGAGCTGCTCACCAAGGCTCCTTCGTGCCAGCCCAGGGCTCCCCCATGGCCCTGACGCCAGGAGCTCCTCGCCCTGTGCCCACGGCCCACAGCCACGTCGCCTCTGTGTCCACAGCCACGCCACCCTGTGCCCACGGCCACGTGCCGCCGTGTCCAGGCCCCACGGCCACGTCGTCGCCGTGTCCAGGCCACAGTCGCCGTGTGGGGAGCAGGACCAGTGCGGGGAGCAGGGCCGGGCAGCCTGCTGGACTGGGCTGGGCCTTGTGGGAGCCAGCTCCGGGGGGACCCGAGCGCCTGTACCCCATCTCAGCAGCGGGTCAGGCCAGCTGCCCCCTGCCCCCTTGCAGGAGGAGGGTTGGCCCAGAGAGCCCGTGAGGGGGAGGCCTCACAGCAGGTCTTCAGGGGCGGATGATGCGGCCCCATGCGGGGGGCAGGGGGGCAGGAACATTGGGGCAGAAAGCGCTGGGGGCGCGAGGGGCGGGAGCTGGCACCCCTCCTCCACCTGCGTGTGGCCCTCGTTCACAGCCTGGAGCCTGGGGGGCTCCCAGGGAATCAGGGGGACCCAGTCCTGCCCCCCTCGGGCGGCTGAGCCCTGCAAACGCCCCGCCCCCGGGGCCAGCAGGAACCACACACCCTCGGCCGCGGCTCGCGAGGCAGGGCCTTAATGCGAACCAGACGCCCGTGCGGGGAGGGCGGCCCCGGCTCCGGGGCTTCTGGGTCCGGAGCCGGTGCGGGCGGAGGGAGCTGGTGCCGGCAGCCGGCCGCCAGGGGGCGGGGGAGCACCCGAGGCCGAGCAGGCGGGGCCCGTTGCCCTGGGGGGGCTGGGGGACTCGGGCACAGAGCTGGGTCCCAGGCGGAGGCCCCTCAGCAGGGCGGGTGGGAGGGTGAGGAGGAGGCCCAGGGCCCCTGAGGACCGGATGGGGTGAGGGTGGGAGGGGAGGGTGGAAGGGTGAGGGGGCTCAGGCTGTGAGGGGAGGAGGCCGTGGGTTGGCCTCCCCCGTGTCCGTGGGGCCCAGCCCGCTGCCCGCAGGTGCCTCTGAGGGAAGTGCCCTCCGCACCCCCTCCCGCTTCCGGTCATGTGCCCTCACCCCTCCTCCCCTTGTCCCCGAGGCTCCCCTCGAAGCAGCAGGCCCGGCAGGTCCCGCTGTCCAGGCCACAGAAGCCTGTGGCGTCTGCAGGGCTGAAGGCGGGGGAAACCGAGGCAGCTGTGCCCCGTGCTTCCTCCCCCCCAGAATGTGCACCCCTGGGGCAGCAGACAACCCCCCCAATGCCCGAGGGCGGCCCCTCCTACCTGCCGCCTCCCGGAGGGCCCTGCGTGGTGGGCGCCCCTGTCCCGGGGCCCGGGCCGCCTCTGGGCCGGCTGCTGGCCTCCTGGGGGAGCAGGGAGGCTCAGGGGCGCCCGTAGCCCAGCCCCCACCCCGGCTGCCGCGGGGCCGCGTGTGGCTGGGGGGTCCCGGCCCCTACCTCCTGCGGGCCGCCCAGGAAGGGGACGGGGTGGTAGCCGGGCGGGGGCGCCCCGAGCCGGACATCCTCGAACTGGGCCCAGCCCTGCCACGCTCGCCGGCAGCCTTCCAGACAGCGCCCCCCGGCTGCGGAGACAGGGGACCCCAGAAAGACGGCCTTGAGCACCTGAGCCGGCCACAGCCCTTCCCGCTGCCCGGCGGGGGCGGCCGGCGGGGGGCTGGGCGGGCTCCGGCCACAGCAGCCCCCTCAGGCCCCCCGAGCCTGTGGCAAGGGCACCCCCAGTCCTGTCTGCACAGGGGGGACTCGGCACGGAGATCAGGAGACGCCGAGGCCCTTGGGGTCTGGCCGGGCCTGGTGTCCCTGCAGGGGGTACCCTCTGTGGCCCCTGCCCCTCGGGGCTCCCAGGCGTGAGGGTGAAGGCCCCGCTGCCCTCCCTCCCCTGCCCGGCTCCCCCGCAGGAGTGCAGGTCCGCCCCGCCCTCCCTCCGCGCTCCCCATGGGGACGGCGAGCGGACGGCGTCTGTCCCCGAGCACTGGATGGGCCCCGGCCCAGGCCTGACCGCCCTCCCCCCGGGGCCCGCGTCTGTGAGGGGGAGAGGCCCGGGCCCAGGCCTGACCGCCCTCCCCCCCGGGGGCCGCGTCTGTGAGGGGGAGAGGCCCGGGCCTGACCGCCCTCCCCCCCGGGGCCCGCGTCTGTGAGGGGGAGAGGCCCGGGCCCAGGCCTGACCGCCCTCCCCCCCGGGGCCCGCGTCTGTGAGGGGGAGAGGCCCGGGCCCAGGCCTGACCGCCCTCCCCCCCGGGGCCCGCGTCTGTGAGGGGGAGAGGCCCCGGCCCAGGCCTGACCGCCCTCCCCCCCGGGGGCCCGCGTCTGTGAGGGGGGAGGCCCGGGCCCAGCGTGTCCCGAGTGCAGGTGGAGGGGCTGACCTCACGCACACAACCCGCCGCACTGTCTGCGCTGGGCGATGGCGGGACCCGTCGCCGGGACAAGGCCCCAGCTCTGCGCCCTCGGCCCTCTGCCCGGGGGGGGGGGGGGGGGCACGCGTGCGCTGGACGGCGGGCACTGAGGCCGCAGCTCCTCCATCGCAGCCTCGGACCCCGAGGCGTCTCCAGGGGCCGGGGCGCAGAGGGCATTGGGGTGCAGATCCCCAGCCGCCACCGGCCTAGCCCCCTCCCTCAGCGCCTGGACACGCGTGTGGTTCGCCACCTTCGGCACCCGCTCTGCACACACACGCCACCCACACGGGCCTGCACCCTGGCCACCAGCTGGTCCACGTGTCCATCCACGTACGTCCCCCAGCGACACCCGCACCCAGCACCCCGGCCGCCTTTCTGAGGCACAGCCCCTCCCCCTGGCCTGCGCCCCTCCCGGCCCTCATCCGGCCTCTCCTCGGCCCCACCTTGAGGTGCAGCCAACGGCCCGGCCTCTCGCCCCCCTTGCTCTAAGCCCCCACTCCTCACGCTCCAGCCTGGAGTCCAGCCCCCCACGCCCTCCTGGCCCCAGGCAGGCCTCCGGCATGGCCACACCCGCCTCACCCCCTCTCCTGGGCCCCCCTGGGCCCCTCAGCCTCACACACCCCAGCCTGGGCGCTCCCACCTCCTGCAGCCCCTCTGCGCCCCTGAAACACGAAGCGAAAAGGCTGCGGCTGCCGGCAGCTCCCACGGGAAGGACGGGGCCGCCCGGCCGGCGTGGCTCCGGGGACAGAGCGTCGGCCTGCGGACCGGAGGGTCCGGGTTCGGTTCTGGTTCAGGGCACAGGCCCAGGGGTGGATCACCGGTGGGGGGCGTGCAGGAGGCAGCCGTCCATGTTTCCTCTCATGGTTGAAGTTTCTCTCTCCCTCTCCCTTCCGCTCTGAGGTCAACAAAAATAGATTAAAAATTAAAGAGACGCCGAGGGCACGGTGCCGGCCGCTGCCTCGCGCAGCTGAGCTCGGGGCCTGAGCACCCTTGGGGGGGGCCGCCTCACCGGGCCCTGAGCGGCTCCTGGTGCACTTCGGGTGCTGCCCGGCCAGGGCGCCCGGAGCCGGGCCTGCGGGCAGAGCCCCCGGCTCGGAGCCGCCTGCAGCGGTGGCGGCAGCGGAGGGCGGTTATGGCAACTGCGGCTTCGTCAGCAGGACGGTCCCGGAGGGCCGGGCGGCCGGGGGGGAGGGCGGCGTGACCTCCCCGAGGAGCGTGTCCGTTAATCGCCTTTCGCAGGACTCCATTAGCTCCCTAATTGCCTGTGTAGGGCGCGGGGACGGCGGGAGGCCGCCGGAAACGGACTCCGGGGGCACCGGGCGGGGCCGCGGGCGGACGCTCCCTCTCCGCGGCTCAGGGAGCGGCTGGGCCTCGGACGGAGGGCCCACGGGGCCAGGACACCCGGCTCCTCCTCAGGGCGGACGCAGGGCCAGGGCTGGCTCCTCAGACGCCTCCCCAGGCCCGGCGAGAGGCCTGGCCCGTCCGGCTGATGCCCAGGCCCCCGAGGCCTCGGCCGCAGGGAGGGCGCCCCCCGCGGGCCAGAGCAGGCGTGGCCAGGCCGAGGCCGTGGGGGCCCCTGTGCGAGCCCCGCCAGAGGCGTCCGTCCCCGGGGGCGCAGTCAGGCCGCCCGCCAGCGGGCCGGAGGGAGCCCCAGCGCCCCCCTTCCCCCCTGCTGCCCCTCGCCCCCAGGATCCTGGAGCCTCTCAGACCCCACGGAGCTGCCGGGAGGGGCTGGACGCTGTGGGTCCCAGGCCGCTGCCCCCTGGCTGCGCCCATGTGGCCGCAGGCCAAGGGAGGCAGTGCTCCGGGTCCCAGACCAGGCCCGGGTGGCAGGAAGGAGCGGGCCCCGGGTGCTCCCTCGAACCCCAGGCCGTCTGCCCCCCGCCGCCGGCTCCTCCTCCTCCTCACGGAGCCCCCAGAACGCGGGGCAGCTGGGGCAAGGAGCCCACGTCCCGGACAGAGGGAGGGCGTGTGGCCTCGGGCCCCCGGGCCCCCGGCTCCCGGCACACCCCCCCGACACCCCCGGTCTGAGTTCACCCCATGCCCGGCGTGCTGGCCCGGAGCCCCCGCCGGGCCGACCTGGGACAGGGCACCAGCGCCAATATCCCCTCCGCGCGAAAGGACAGGGGCTGCTCTGCCGCAGCTAACCAGGCAATTAGCACTAACGCCGTCCCCCAGGAGGCCGCGGCTCAGCGTCGCTTTATGGCCCATCGGCTGAGCGGCAAAGGGCACCTTGGCTGTTAAAGTCCGACAGTGGCGGGCGCGCCCAGCTCCATCGGAGGACGCAGAGCCACGCGTTCGACAAGGAAAAGGGGAACCACTCGGGCCCGCTGGAGGCACTTCCTGGAGGGTTTCCTTCATTAAAAAAAAGCCCGGCCCGTGTTGCTCAGTGGTGAGCGTCCACCTAGGCACCAAGAGGTCAGGGTTCGATTCCCAGTCGGGGCACAGCCCGGTTTCGGGCTGGGGGGCGTGAGGAGGCAGCTGGTCCATGATTCTCTCTCCTCATTGATCTCTCTCTCTCTCCCGCTTCCTCCCTGAAACCAATAAAAACATATTTATAAAAAGCAGCAGTGCCCTGGCCGGTTTGGCTCAGTGGATAGAGCGTCGGCCTGCGGACTGAAGGGTCTCGGGTTTGATTCCGGTCAAGGGCATGTACCGTGGTTGGGGGCACATCCCCAGTGGGGGAGGTGCAGGAGGCAGCTGATGGATGTTTCTAGCTCTCTCTCCTCTCCCTTCCTCTCTGTAAGAAATCAGTAAGATATATTAAAAATAAAATGTAAACAGCAGCAGCAGAGAAGCAATCTGAGCTCTGTGCCTGCTGCAGCGTCTGAGGTTCCATATTCGGAGACAGTGGGACCCGCGGGCCCAGCCAGCCCGACCAGTGTCCCCCCAGCGCCCGGCAACGGCCAGCACGGACATCGGGGGTCAGTGGGCTAGCAGACGGGGTCTCGGCAGACACCCCCTGAAAACAAGAGCATAAAAGGTCCAGGGAGAGCTGTGGTGGGAACCAGGACAGGGAAGGGACTGAACGCAAAAACCGGCGGAACAGAAATCAACGACTCAGTTCCCGGAATCGGTCTGGACTGGATCCCAGCGGCGCCCGGCGGTCTCAGACACACGGGCGCGTCCCCCCCCGCACCCCCCCCCGCCAGGCAGCACCCACCGGCACGGCCGGACCTGGCGGGTGCTGGCGCCCAGGGCAGCCCAGGGCAGGCAGGGCCAGCGCCCGGCAGACGCCGTCCACGCCTCAGGCCCGGGCCCGGCCTCCATGGCCTCCCTCGGCCGCTTCGGACTGACACCCTGGGGCGGAGGTGGCCCCGGGCGGGCTCCCTCGCAGGGGCCTCGAGTCCGGCCAGGCTGCCCTCAGGCCTCCTCCAGGCAGGTCCTTCCCCCCACCCCCGACAGCCGGCAGCACCTGGCAGCCCGCCCGGGGCACCCGCTGAGGTCCCTGACCTGCGGGACGGCGCTGTGGCCTGGCTCGGCTCACCCCCGCGCCCATCGCACCCGCAGGCTCAGGCCCGGGCCTGGGTGCCTGGCGCCCGGTGGGCAGCCCCAGCCTGGCGTCTCACCTAGGAACGGCACCTGGCACCGTCCTGGACGCCCTGCCGCCCGCTCCCCTGTGCCAGGCGCCGGCCGCCTGCGCCCCCACACGCCCCCACACGCCCCCCTCGCCGCGCTGGCTGCACTCACCGGGCAGGCCACCGGGGGCGTCTCCCTGGCCACAGGGGGCGTCCGGGGTCCGCGCCGCCTCAGGGTCTCCCGTGGGGGGTGACGCGCTGGCCCGGGCACGTTCGGGGCCCGACGGGCGGTCAGACAGCGGGTAGGGGATGCACTGGAACCCACTGCGGAGGGGGCGGGGGCGGGCTGGGCTCCGCGTGGCACCAGCTGGGGACGCCCGGCCGTGGGAACAGGGGGCCCTGGGGCACCCCAGGGGGGCGGGTCTCACTCTGGGACCCCCTGAGACCCCGCGGAGCCCAGCCTGCCTCCCCCCGCCTGCGGTGCCCACTCCCCCTCCCGCCTGTGGTGCCCACTCCCCCCCCCCCGCCTGTGGTGCCCACTCCCCCCCCCCCGCCTGTGGTGCCCACTCCCCCCCCCCGCCTGGGGTGCCCACTCCTCCCGCCTGCGGTGCCCACTCCCCCCCCCGCCTGCGGTGCCCACTCCCCCCCCCGCCTGGGGTGCCCACTCCCCCCCCCGCCTGGGGTGCCCACTCCTCCCGCCTGCGGTGCCCACTCCCCCTCCCGCCTGCGGTGCCCACTCCCCCTCCCGCCTGTGGTGCCCACTCCCCCTCCCGCCTGTGGTGCCCACTCCCCCCCCCGCCTGCGGTGCCCCCTCCCCCCCCCGCCTGGGGTGCCCACTCCCCCCCCGCCTGGGGTGCCCACTCCTCCCGCCTGCGGTGCCCACTCCCCCTCCCGCCTGTGGTGCCCACTCCCCCCCCCGCCTGGGGTGCCCACTCCACCGCCTGCGGTGCCCACTCCCCCCCCCGCCTGGGGTGCCCACTCCCCCGCCTGCGGTGCCCACTCCCCCCCCCGCCTGCGGTGCCCACTCCCCCCCCCGCCTGGGGTGCCCACTCCCCCCCCCGCCTGCGGTGCCCACTCCCCCTCCCGCCTGCGGTGCCCACTCCCCCCCCCGCCTGGGGTGCCCACTCCTCCCGCCTGCGGTGCCCACTCCCCCCCCGCCTGCGGTGCCCACTCCCCCCCCCGCCTGCGGTGCCCACTCCCCCCCCCGCCTGGGGTGCCCACTCCTCCCGCCTGCGGTGCCCACTCCCCCGCCTGCGGTGCCCACTCCCCCCCCCGCCTGCGGTGCCCACTCCCCCCCCCGCCTGCGGTGCCCACTCCCCCCCCCGCCTGGGGTGCCCACTCCTCCCGCCTGCGGTGCCCACTCCCCCCCCCGCCTGGGGTGCCCACTCCTCCCGCCTGCGGTGCCCACTCCCCCCCCCGCCTGCGGTGCCCACTCCCCCCCCCGCCTGCGGTGCCCACTCCCCCCCCCGCCTGCGGTGCCCACTCCAACGCCTGCGGTGCCCACTCCCCCCGCCTGCGGTGCCCACTCCCCCGTCTGCGGTGCCCACTCCCCACCCCCGCCTGCGGTGCCCACTCCCCCGCCTGCGGTGCCCACTCCCCCCCCCCGCCTGCGGTGCCCACTCCCCCGCCTGCGGTGCCCACTCCCCCGCCTGCGGTGCCCACTCCCCCGCCTGCGGTGCCCACTCCCCCCCCCGCCTGCGGTGCCCACTCCCCCGCCTGCGGTGCCCACTCCCCCCGCCTGCGGTGCCCACTCCCCCCGCCTGCGGTGCCCACTCCCCTGCCTGCGGTGCCCACTCCCCCCTCCCGCCTGCGGTGCCCACTCCCCCGCCTGCGGTGCCCACTCCCCCCTCCCGCCTGCGGTGCCCACTCCCCCCCCGCCTGCGGTGCCCACTCCCCCCGCCTGCGGTGCCCACTCCCCCCGCCCCTGCGGTGCCCACTCCCCCCTCCCGCCTGCGGTGCCCACTCCCCTGCCTGCGGTGCCCACTCCCCCCGCCTGCGGTGCCCACTCCCCCCCCTGCCTGCGGTGCCCACTCCCCCTGCCTGCGGTGCCCACTCCCCCCCCTGCCTGCGGTGCCCACGCCCCCCGCCTGGGGTGCCCACTCCCCCCCCCCGCCTGGGGTGCCCACTCCCCCCCCTGCCTGCGGTGCCCACTCCCCCCTCCCGCCTGCGCTGCCCACGCCCCCCGCCGCCTGGGGTGCCCACTCCCCCGCCTGCGCTGCCCACGCCCCCCTCCCGCCTGCGCTGCCCACGCCCCCCGCCTGGGGTGCCCACTCCCCCCCCCCGCCTGGGGTGCCCACTCCCCCCCCTGCCTGCGGTGCCCACTCCCCCCTCCCGCCTGCGCTGCCCACGCCCCCCGCCGCCTGGGGTGCCCACTCCCCCGCCTGCGCTGCCCACGCCCCCCTCCCGCCTGCGCTGCCCACGCCCCCCGCCTGGGGTGCCCACTCCCCCCCCCCGCCTGGGGTGCCCACTCCCCCCCCTGCCTGCGGTGCCCACTCCCCCCTCCCGCCTGCGCTGCCCACGCCCCCCGCCGCCTGCGGTGCCCACTCCCCCGCCTGCGGTGCCCACTCCCCCCGCCTGGGGTGCCCACGCCCCCGCCTGGGGTGCCCACTCCCCCGCCTGCGGTGCCCACTCCCCCCCCCCGCCTGCGGTGCCCACTCCCCCCCCCCGCCTGCGGTGCCCACTCCCCCGCCTGCGGTGCCCACTCCCCCCGCCTGGGGTGCCCACTCCCCCCGCCTGCGGTGCCCACTCCCCCCGCCTGGGGTGCCCACTCCCCCCGCCTGCGGTGCCCACTCCCCCGCCTGCGGTGCCCACTCCCCCCGCCTGCGGTGCCCACGCCCCCCCCCCCCGCCTGCGGTGCCCACGCCCCCCTCCCGCCTGCGGTGCCCACTCCCCCTGCCTGCGGTGCCCACTCCCCCCTCCCGCCTGCGGTGCCCACTCCCCCCCCCGCCTGCGGTGCCCACTCCCCCCGCCTGCGGTGCCCACTGCGTGCCCGAGCCTCTGCCTCCTCCCCGAGATGGAGCATGTGTGCTGGTCACCGCGTGCCCCGTGCTGGTGGGAGCAGGCGGGCCGGGGGAACTTCCGGTCATTCCCCCCCCAGGATGAGGGGCCCTGCCCGCCCCCTCACTCACAACGGGGTCTGGATGGGTGTCTCCCGTCGGCCGGCGTCCACGCTGAAGAAGCTGACCTCGGAGTAGGCCGGCAGCTGCACGTACCGGACGCCCGCGGAAACCCTCAGGACCCGGCCGTCCTCGCCTGGGGGGGGAGCGCGCTGGCCCAGGAGCGGGGGCCCGTCCACCACCCAGGGGACACTGCCCCTCACTGCCCGCCTCCCACCACGAGACCGGCGGGAGGGAGGCCCACGCATGGCGCTGCAGGACCCGGCGGACCGAGACGCACCCCCGGGTCCCATGGGAGGTGCCAGGAGGCAGAGCGGGGAGGGGGGGCTGGTGGGGCCGAGGGGGTGACGGGCTGCCCGCGGTGGAGGGCCTGTCTGGGGGCGTCTAGGTGGCGCTGTGAGGTGGAGACGGCTGTCCGACTGCGAATTCACTAAAATGTACGGAAAACCGTGGGATCACGACACAGGTGAGCTTTGTGGTGTGTGAAGGACGGGGCAGGAAGTGGTTACGTAAGCCAGTTGTGAGTGAACACACGTGGTGCCACCACCCCTCGGCGTCCTGATTAACGCCTGCTGAGCTCGGCCGGCGTGGCTCCGTGGCTGAGCATCGACCAGGAGGTCAGGGTTTAATCCCAGATCAGGACACACGCCCGGTTGTGGACTTGATCCCCAGTAGGGGGTGTGCAGGAGGCAGCTGATCCGTGATTCTCTCTCATCATGGATGTTTCTTTCTTTAAAAAATATATATTTTATTGACTTTTTACAGAGAGGAAGAGAGAGGGATAGAGAGTTAGAAACATCGATGAGAGAGAATCATCGATCAGCTGCCTCTTGTACACCCTCTACTGGGGATGTGCCCGCAACCAAGGTACATGCCCTTGACCGGAATCGAATCTGGGACCCTTCAGTCCGCAGGCCAACGCTCTATCCACTGAGTCACACCAGTTTCGGCTCCTCATGGATGTTTCTATTTGTTTCTATCTCTCCCCCACCCTCCCTTCCTCTCTGACGTCAATCTATATACGTAAAAGCCTGAGTGACCATCCAACCTTCTGACCGTCAGACCATCCGACCGGTAGCTATGATGCACACTGACCACCAGGGGGCAGACGCTCATCGCAGGAGCTGCCCAGCTGCGGTGACTTGGCATCTGCGGTTCTCAGGTGACACACCCAGAGCCAGAAAGGAGGGGGCCGATTTCAGGGTGCGTCACCGGAGAACTGCCCTCTCGCAATCGGGACCCCTCGGGGGATGTCAGAGAGCCTGTCAGCCTGACCCCTGCAGGCCAGGCCGAGGAACCCCGCCTGCCCGAGGGGCCGGGGCAGCAGCCAGGGAGGGGCCACAGGAGGCCGGCTCCGGGGCCTGTCCGGCCCGTCTCGCCCAGTCCCGCCCGGGGCCACCTTCCAATTAATTTCCTCTCAGTGCGCACGACTCCGTGCACCGGCCTCCAGTAAACATATATTTGAGGCGAGTGTGACAGCAGGGATCCTGTGCGCTGATTAGCGGGTCCTGCTCCCCCGTAGCCCCCCACCCCACGTGGCTCAGGTGGGACGTCGGCCTGTCCCTCCCGGCCGCACCACCGGCTGACGGGTCCCGGGAAGGGCTGCAGGACGGGCTGGGGCCTGGGGGGTGCCGGGAGATGATGGGGGGGTGACGGGGGGAGGGGGGATGACAGGGGGATGGGGGATTCCCTCCCAGGCCAGGCCTCCTCCCCTCCTGGCCAGACCGGCCTCCCAGACGCGCCCGGCTGCACCGTCACCGTCCTCTCGCTCTGATTGCGTGACCACTGCACACGGGCATGCACACACACACACACACACACACACACGCTCACACGAGCTCACACACGTGTGCACACACACGCACACGCACGAGGCTTCCTGCTCACCGGCGGCGACCGTCCAGTCGTCCTGCAGCAGCTGCACGCGCACCGAGAAGGAGGCGCCCGGGGCCACCTCCAGCACCGCGGGGCCCAGGATCACCGTCCTCACAGCGCGGCCTGGGGGAGCAGAGGTGCCGGTGCCGGTGCCCGAGGCCAGAGCCCCCACGGGCGACACCCTGCAGCGTCCTCACGGAGGGCCCGCCTGCCGGTCACACAGGCAGACGCACAGGCCAGCCCCTGACCGGCCGCCTGGGGGGGGCGTCCCTGAGGCGTCGCGGTGCCCAGGCCGGTGGGGGGCTGGGCTTGGGGTTTCCCCCCGGGATTCTTTGGGGCAGAACCGCCCGCTTCCACCTCCTGGGCACCAAGTGCTGGGGGCGCGGGCGGGGGGTCTGGGCGCTCACACTGGACCGGCCCCTGGCCCCCCTCCTGCCCGGACCCCCTGCGTCTGCGGGCGGCTTGGTGTGGGCGGGTCCCCGCACAAGGACCCTCTGGGGTCTGCCCCCCAAGAGTGAGGCCTCTCGCACAGCCCGACGGGCGCTGGGGCTTCAGGCAGGGACCAGGGAGCAGGGACCGGGGAGCAGGGACCGGGGACCAGGGAGCAGGGACCGGGGACCGGGGACCGGGGACCAGGGACCGGGGACCAGGGAGCAGGGACCGGGGAGCAGGGACCAGGGAGCAGGGACCGGGGACCGGGGACCGGAGACCAGGGACCGGGGACCAGGGAGCAGGGACCGGGGAGCAGGGACCGGGGAGCAGGGACCGGGGAGCGGGGACCGGGGACCGGGGAGCAGGGACCGGGGACCAGGGAGCAGGGACCGGGGACCGGAGACCAGGGACCGGGGACCAGGGAGCAGGGACCGGGGAGCAGGAACCGGGGAGCAGGGACCAGGGAGCAGGAACCGGGGAGAGGGGGCCGGGGAGAGGGGACCGGGGATGGGAGGAGCGGGGCCGGCGGAGGAGGGAGAGCAGGCCCCGGGCGGTGGGCCTTTGGGGTGCGCCCAGCAGGGTAACCAACGCCAGAGCCCACTTGGGGGGGAGTCGGGGCAGTCGCCACCCCGGATCCCGCTGGGGGAGGTGAGGCTGGGTCACACCCAGGGGTTCGGACAGGACCCCGATGTGGGGGTGATGTGACTGAGGAGCCTGAGGCAGGGGGGCCCCTGCAGGGCCAGGCTCCTTGGGAGGCTCCGTTGAGGGGGTGCCTGGCTGTGGGGGGCCCTGCACCCCAGGGGTCCGCCCTCCCCCAGGCCCGGCACACCCTTTCCCAGGACCTAGGCCCCAGCCGGCTCCGCGGTGCCCGGTGGCCTCTCCCAGCCAGTCACCCTGGTCCTGTCGGGGCCTCTGAATGCTCAGGGCAGCCCCCCGAGGAGGCCCCTGCGGGCCCTGGCCACCTGCGCTCAGGCTCGGGCAGGCTCAGGGGGGGCCGGGCGGGGCTGTGGGTGGGGGACCCCGGGATCGGGAGCGCCCAGCGCTGGAGGCCCTGCCCGCACGGCCCCCTTGGGTGCCAAGCCTGACGGGCCTCGGAGGTCAGGAGCCTGGGAGCCGCGGGGAGCGTTTTCTCGGGGGGTTCAGCTCCCCCTTCGGCCGGGCCCCCCGCTCCGCCGGCGCCTGGCCAGGCCCGGGCAGGACCCAGGAGGCGGCACCTACCCACAGGCTGGCCGCTGATCCACGGGCCCCGGTAGACGACCCCGGAGCAGTGGGCCACGCTGCCCAGGCCACTGAGGACGTCGCTGTACCACTGCCCCTGGGGGGCGGGGGGCGGGGGGTTAGGGCCACGCGTGCCCCTGGGGTCGGAGCCTGCGTGCTGTGTCCCCGGTGCCGGCGGGACCACGGCTCCTCTGGCAGGCCTCCCCCGAGGGCCCTGGGCCTGCCCAGGGGCTGCTGTCCAGCAGACCGCTCCTCCTCTCCGGCCAGGCTGCAGCCGGTCCCCAGGCCACGGCCCACCGGCATCCGCTCGCAGCTGCGGCGCGGGCAGAGCTGGGCTGCCCCCTGGTGGCGAGTGGACGGGCGGCAGGCACCGGGCGAGCCTGGCTTTGGCAGGAGCCGGCCCCACCTCCGGCCTCGGCCTCCCCAGTGTGCAGGGGAGGCCCAGCCGTGCCCGGCCAGGGAGGCCAGGGGCAGCCGTGCCCACGGCCAGGCCCTGGGCGCCTGGGGGCCGAGGGAGGACCGGGTTCCGGGAACAAAGCTCTTCCTCGCGCCCGCTCTGCGGGTCCGCCTGCCCGTGCCCCTCCGCCAGCTCCAGCCCGGCCGGCCCTCCCACGGCCGCTCCCGTCTCCAGGGTTCGGCTCCCCTGGCCACACCGAGCACCGCAGCCTCCAGCCACCAGCTGCCCCTCGTCCACACGTGGCCCCATGACCGGGTGGGGGGCAGCCTGGCCGGGGGCACATGGGCCTGGGCCTGGGCGGGGGCTCCCCAGCGCCTGAGCCTCCTCACCCACGTGTCACCCCTAAAGCCGAGGTGGCGCTTTCTGCAGTGACGGGGGAGGAGAGAGGGGGGAGGGGGAAGGGGAGGAGGAGGGGGAGGAGGGAGGGGAAGGAGGAGGAGGGAGGGGGAGGGGGAGGAGGGAGGGGGAAGGGGAGGGTAGAGAGAGGAAGAAGGAGGGGGAGGAGGGAGGGGAGGGGGAGGGGGGAGGGGGAGGGGGAGGAGGAGGAGAGGGAAGGGGTAGGAGGGAGGGGGAGGAAGGGGAGGGGAGGGAGGAGGGAGGGGGAAGGGGAGGAGGGAGGGGGAGGGGGAGGAAAGGGAAGGAGAAGGAGGGAGGGGGAGGGAGGAGGAGGAGAGGGAAGGGGTAGGAGGGAGGGGGAGGAAGGGGAGGGGAGGGAGGAGGGAGGGGGAAGGGGAGGAGGGAGGGGGAGGGGGAGGAAAGGGAGGGGGGAGGAGGGAGGAGGAGGGGGGAGGGGGTAAGAGGGCGGAGGGAGGGGGGAGAAGAGGAGAGGGAGGGGGAGGGGGGGAGGGAGGAGGGAGGGAGGAGGAAGAGAGGTGAGGGGAAGGAGGGAGGGGGGGAGGGGAGGGGAGGGAGGACAGAGGGGGAAGGGGGAGGGGGAGGAGAAGGAGAGGGAAGGGGTAGGAGGGAGGGGGAGGAGGGAGGGGGAGGGAGGGGGGAGGAGGAGGAGAGAGGGGGAAGGGGGAGGGGGAGGAGAAGGAGAGGGAAGGGGTAGGAGGGAGGGGAAGGAGGGAGGGGGAGGGAGGGGGGAGGGAGGAGGAGAGAGGGGGAAGGGGGAGGGGGAGGAGAAGGAGAGGGAAGGGGTAGGAGGGAGGGGGGAGGGAGGAGAAGGAGAGGGAAGGGGTAGGAGGGAGGGGAGAGGGAGGAGGGGGAGGGGGAAGGGGTAGGAGGGAGGGGTAGGAGGGAGGAGGAGGGAGGGGGAACGGGTAGGAGGGAGGGGAGAGGGAGGAGGGGGAGGGACACGGCTGGCCTGGAGGAGCAGAACCGGCCTCGGCGCCCACCCAGGCGGGCGGTGGGCGGAGGCTCAGGCGCCCGCGGACCCAGGGCCTGAGCTGCGGCCGCGTTGGGGCCGGTACCTCGTAGACGGAGCCGTCCGCGCAGCGCAGCTCCCCGTGGCCCTGCCGCTGGTCCCGGACCCAGTCGCCCTCGTACTCGTCCCCGTTCCTGCGGACACGAGGCCGCCTCAGGCCGGGGGCCGCCGGGCTCAGCCGCTCCCTGACCGCAGGCTCTGCATGGGCCGCGCCGGCAGGAATGGGCACGGCCACAGCCCGGCCTGAGAGCACATGGCCCCCGTGTGCGGGCTCAGCCCCCGTGTGAGGGCTCAGCCCCCGTATGAGGCCCCCCCCCGTGTGAGGGCTCAGCCCCCCCCCCCGTGTGAGGGCTCACACCCCCGTGTGAGGGCTCAGCCCCTCCCCCCCGTGTGAGGGCTCAGCCCCCGTGTGAGGGCTCACACCCCCGTGTGAGGGCTCAGCCCCCCCCCCGTGTGAGGGCTCAGCCCCCGTGTGAGGGCTCACCCCCCCCCCCCGTGTGAGGGCTCACCCCCCCGTGTGAGGGCTCACCCCCCGTGTGAGGGCTCAGCCCCCATGTGAGGGCTCACCCCCCCCCCGTGTGAGGGCTCAGCCCCCGTGTGAGGGCTCAGCCCCCGTGTGAGGGCTCGGCCCCCCCAGGTGAGGGCTCAGCCCCCGTGTGAGGGCTCGGCCCCCGTGTGAGGGCTCAGCCCCCGTGTGAGGGCTCGGCCCCCCCAGGTGAGGGCTCAGCCCCCGTGTGAGGGCTCGGCCCCCCCGTGTGAGGGCTCAGCCCCCGTGTGAGGGCTCAGCCCCCGTGTGAGGGCTCGGCCCCCCCAGGTGAGGGCTCGGCCTCAGGTGTGGGACGTGGAGAGACAACAGGGAGGAAGAGGGGGAGGTGAACCCACAGATCCCAGCGGTCGGATTCTGGATGAGAAACCAGCCCAGGAGGGCAGGCCCTCCTGCCTGAGGGTCCTACACACACGCACACACACGTACATACATACACACACGTACACACACACACACGCACGCACACGGGCTCGGAGCTGTCCGTGCCGAGGCCCGTACTCACGGGAAGGCCATGTGCCCGTGGCCGTGGCGCTTGTTGTTGTGGAAGTCCCCGCAGTACACGCACCCGTCCGCGTCCACGAGACACCCGTGTCCTGGGAGAAGCCAGAGGCCAGCTGCGGCCGGGCGGGAGGGGGACCGGGACAGGGCGGGCCCGGGGTGGCCCCGGGACAGGAGCAGAACGGGCGCCCAGGGGCTGGGGTGAGCGGGCGCCCAGGGGCTGGGGGTGACGGGGCGCCCAGGGGCTGTGGGTGACCGGGCGCCCAGAGGCTGGGGTGAGCGGGCGCCCAGGGGCTGGGGTGACCGGGCGCCCAGGGGCTGGGGTGACGGGCGCCCAGGGGCTGGGGTGAGCGGGCGCCCAGGGGCTGGGTGACGGGGCGGCTGCCCCGGGGGAAGTGGCTGGGGGGGCAGCTCTCCAGGCCCCGAGGGAGGGGCGCACGGGGCGCACTTGCTGTGTGTCGGGGGGATGCTACACACCCAGACCTGCTTGTGGGGCGTGTGCATGCATGCGTGTTCGTGTGCGCACACGTGTGTTTACTGGGACCTGCGTGTGAGTGGGGAGGCCTGAGTGGCCATTCCAGGGGCCTCAGCCTGTGGGGACGCAGCTGCACCATGTTACGGGTTTTCCGGTTTGGACGGACGGCTGAGCCAGGCCATTCCTACTGCTTTCATTTATTTATTAAAAACGTGTTTTTATTGATGTCAGAGAGGAAGGATGAGGGAGAGAGAGAAACATCACTGAGGAGAGAGAATCGTGGATCGGCTGCCTCCTGCTCTCCCCCCCCCCACTCCTGCGCCCCCCCGCCCCCCCCCCCCGCCCTCCCCCGGCCCCAGGATGGAGCCTGCAACCCGGGCCTGTGCCCTGACCGGGAATCAAGCCCTGGCCTCCCGGTTCCTAGGCCGACCTCAGCCACTGAGCCTGCCGGCCGGGCCCTCCTACTTCTAACACGAGCAGCCCTCAGAGGACCGTCCTGCTGGCCTCTGGGCAGTGGCTTCCGGGAACCGTGAGCCTTCGGCCTTCGGGCTGTGCCCACCGCCCACCGGCCACCCTGGGGCGGTGAGGAGGCCTGACCGCCAAGGCCTCTGCTGCCGGTGCTTCCGGCCACCGTGACCGCCGTCTGCAGACCCCACGCGAGGCCAGAAGACCTGCAGGCTGAGCCCAGGCCGACTCTGGACCCGGGATTGCAAACAAGTAAGGAAAGGGGGTTATTTTCAGCCACTGGGGTTTGTTTTTTGTGTTAATCCTCACCTGAGACCGTTTTCCCATTGATCTTTAGAGAGAGGGGAAGGGAGGGAGCGACAGAGAGGAACATCGATGTGAGAGGCACATGGGCTGGCTGCCTCCCGCATACGCTCCGACCAGGGCCAATGATTGAGCCTGCAACCCGGGTACGTGCCCTTGACCGGGATCAAACCCAGGACCCTTCGGTCCTCAGGCCAATGCTCTACCCACTGAGCAACACTGGCCAGGGCTGGGCCACTAGGTTTTGGGGGGCTTGTCACGCAGCAGTGGCTGGCGTTACAAACACAGCCCCCGTCCCCCCCCCCCCCGCCCCCCCCCGCCCCCCCCCCCCTGTGCACACACACACACACACACACACACACACACACACACGCACACTGCGCCAGCCACGGCTCCGGGCAGAAGAGTGCACCCTCGCCTGCTCCCCACCCCACAGCCAGCTGGGCCCCCGGTCACCGCGGGGCCCTGAGCCCACCCGCCCCACAGATGGGGCGCCGGGCAGGGGTGCGGCCCGGGGGCAGACCTTCCCTCACGCCGCGGGACAGCGCCCCCTCGTAGCGGCCCCCCGCTCTGTACTCCATGACGCCCTGGCCCTGGGGCTCTCCGAAGACGAACTGGCCAGAGTAGGTGTTTCCTGGGGGGTGGGGGGGGCGCGGGGTCAGGGTTGGAGCTGGTGCCCGTCGCCTGAGCGGTGGCGGACTCCGGTTTGGGAGGGAACATGGGACCTCCCGGTTCCCGCAGAGCCCACCCCGGGGCCTCGGTGGGCAGCGACGTCCCAGATCCGAGGGGGAGCCTTCTCCCCTGGAACTGACCACACGCCTGCCCTGGGGGCCTGAGGGTCCGAGGCAGCCCCTGGCCACGCCGTGGGAACACGCCAGCACCCTCCCCGCTGGCACGGCAGTGACAGACCCCTCGGGGAGCCAGGCTCTGTTCACAGCTGGGAGTGCCTTCCGCGCCGGGAGGGAGACAGTGTGCCAGGGGCCAGCGGGCGCCAGGGTCTGGGTGTGAGGGGGACGCGGTGCCAGGGGGTCTGGGTGTGAGGGGACGGTGTGCCAGGGGGTCTGGGTGTGAGGGGACGGTGTGCCAGGGGGTCTGGGTGTGGAGGGGACGGTGTGCCAGGGGGTCTGGGTGTGAGGGGACGGGGTGCCAGGGGGTCCGGGTGTGAGGGGGACGGTGTGCCAGGGGGGTCTGGGTGTGAGGGGGACAGGGTGCCAGGGGGTCTGGGTGTGAGGGGGACAGTGTGCCAGGGGGTCTGGGTGTGAGGGGGACAGGGTCGCCAGGGGCAGCAGGCCGCAGGGTCTGGGTGTGAGGGGGACGGGTGCCAGGAGGTCTGGGTGTGAGGGGACGGGGTGCCAGGGGGTCTGGGTGTGAGGGAGACGGGGTGCCAGGGGGGTAGCAGGCCGTCAGGGTCTGGTGTGAGGGGGACAGTGTGCCAGGGGGCAGCAGGTGCCAGGGTCTGGGTGTGAGGGGGACGGTGTGCAGGGGGTCTGGGTGTGAGGGGGACGGTGTGCCAGGGGGTCTGGGTGTGAGGGGGACGGGGTGCCAGGGGGTCTGGGTGTGAGGGGGACGGGGTGCCAGGGGGTCTGGGTGTGAGGGGACAGTGTGCCAGGGGGTCTGGGTGTGAGGGGGATGGGGTGCCAGGGGGTCTGGGTGTGAGGGGGACGGGGTGCCAGGGGGCAGCAGGCCGTCAGGGTCTGGGTGTGAGGGGGACGGTGTGCCAGGGGGTCTGGGTGTGAGGGGGACGGTGTGCCAGGGGGTCTGGGTGTGAGGGGGACGGGGTGCCAGGGGGTCTGGGTGTGAGGGGGACGGGGTGCCAGGGGGTCTGGGTGTGAGGGGGATGGGGTGCCAGGGGGTCTGGGTGTGAGGTGGACGGTGTGCAGGGGATCTGGGTGTGAGGGGGACGGTGTGCCAGGGGGTCTGGGTGTGAGGGGGACGGGGTGCAGGGGCCAGCGGGCGCCAGGGGCTCCGCGGGGCTGACCTGTGTGGGCCCAGTGGCGGCGGCCTCGGCCCATGATCTCCCCGTCCGCGAACTCGCCCTCGTAGTAACTGCCGTCCTTAAACAGCAGCTTCCCGCGGCCTGGGAGGAACGGACCGCGGGAGCCCCCACGCTTCTCAGGGAGAAGAGCCCAGGGAGAGCCGCGACGTGAGTAGCAGTGGGAACCTCGGGCAGAAGCACCGCCAGAAAAGCCGAAAGGCTCCGACAGCGACGGCGCTGGGCGGGCCACGGGGACGAGGGCTCACACGGAAGCACACGGGCCCGGCCGCCTGCTCCGGGGCCGGACCGTCCGCCTGCCGGCCGGGGTCTCAGCCGGGCTCCGTGTCCAGGCAAGGGCACCACCTCGGCTGTGGGTTTGCTTCTTACCCCCAGTTGGGGTGCGTGTGGGAGGCGAGTGGTTAATGTGTCTCTCTGACATCAATACGCTCTCTCTCTCTCTCTCTCCCTCCCTCCCTCTCCTCCTCAACAGAACTGTCAGCAGAGCCCCAGGCAGACATGACACTGAGAGACCGCCAGTGCCGTTCAGACACTGGCTTCTCTGCGGCTGAGACGTCCCACGAAAGGAGACAAGCTCTTTCTCGTCAGAGATGCACCCTGAAGGCGGGAAGGTGGCAGGCCCGGGTGAAGGTGGCCGTGAGGGGCCCAGTCCCCCCGGCACCCGTCCCCCCCCCTCCCCCCAGGGGGGCAGCCTCGGGGAGAGGCCAGAGGCTTCTTACCGTGGCTCTTCCCTCCTTTCCACTCCCCTTCGTACCGGAAGAAGGAGTTGGGGTACACGTAGACGCCGTAACCTGACGTGGACAGAACACGGTGAGCATGTGGCACGGGCAGCCCAGATGGCGGCCAGCCCAGGCTCCAGCTGGGCGGGCTGGGGGTCCTCAAGGGGTCTGTGCACTTCCCAACATGGCTGCCCGGGCTTCAGTCTGGAGTGGGGACTTGACCTGTTTACTGCCCACCCCTCTCCCCTCCCTCCCTCGTTTGCTTATGCACCAAGCATGCTGAGCCGGCCTACTCCCGCAGAGGCAGGCCCGGTGGGAGGGCCTTGAGAGTGGAGAGGGGACTTCTGAGCTGAGCCTAGCCAGCAGAGGGAGGTGAGGGCATGCGGGGGTGGGGTGGGGGGTAGGGGGTGGGGGGAGAGCTGGCCCCTCCGGTGGCCTCCAGGCCCATCAGAACAAAGCCCTCCCTCCTGCCACGCCGCTGTTGAGCGCACCATCCCCCATCCCCCCCCCCCCAGTCCCCTGGTGTGTGTGGGGGGCACAGCCTGCGGGGGGCGGTTTAGGGGAGCGCGGCGTGGACTCGGAGTTCAGCCCCTTTCCTTTGACTCTGAGGACAGCTCCCGTCAAACCTCCGAACCGCGCGTCCAGGCTCGGGCGCCTCCGGCTCGGTCTCCAGGCCCCGAGGCCCCTCCGGCCCGGCCCGCGGGGCACCCGCACCCGCACCCGCGGAGACGAAGCCGCTTCCAGGGCCAGGGGCGACCGGCGGGGCTGGTGGAGGTTCGCGTGGGGATCAGGGGCGCGGGTTCCGGACGGAGGCCCGGAAGGGCGTAGGGCAGCCGCCCCCCGCCCGCTGCCCAGCCCTGCAGCCGTTACCGTCCTGTGGCGGCCGCCCCTGCGGGTCCCGACGCTGCGGGCGGGAGCTCCGGCTCCCTGGGCTGGCGGCTGCCATCTTGCCGCTAGCGGTTTACCTTGCCAACCGCGACAGCCTCCTCTATTGGCTGCTTGGTCGCTAGGGGTGTGGTCACGGGCCCAGCCTCTGGGCGATCGCAAGATCTGGAGTGGCGTCGTGCGGGCCCGGAGCCAGACGACGCGCCTGCGCCTGCGCGGCATAGCGCATTTCCGGCGCTTACGTTCTTTCCGCCGGGAAAAGGCGCCCGCACCGGAAGCGGAAATGGTTGGAGGCTCTTGGCTCCGCCCAGGCGTCCATCTTGGAAGCCCGGAGGCGGCGCCGCGCAGTACAGAGCGGAAGTGCTAGTCTGCCCCTTCCCGGACCGAGCGAAGCGCCGGCGCGGCCCCTGCCCGCGTCCTCCTCCCCGCGGCCCTCGGAGACCGCGCTCGGCCGCTGCAGAGCCGCGAGGTACCGGCGGGCGGCGGGCGGCGGGCGGGGCGGGATAGGCGGGGCAGGAGGGCCGGGCCCCGGGTCGGTGGGTGATCGGTCCTCGGCCGACGCCCGCCCGGTCGTGCGGGGCGCCGCGGTCCTCCGTCCCCGCGCCGGTGTCCGGTGTCCGGGGGCCCGGCGGGAAGGCGACGGGCTGCAGTCGCGCCGCTCGAGATGACACGTCGGTGCCAGGGCACATCCGAGGGCGCCGCCGCCGGCAGGACCCTGTGCTGAGGCCGGGCGCCGGGAGGCCCCGGCGGTGGACGCGCTCCGCTGAGCGCACGCGGTGGCCCGCTCGGGTGCGGCGAGGGGCCGGGTGGACACCCCGGGGTGGTCACGCCGTGGCGGGAGGAGCCCTCGGCCGTGCGGGGCAGCCGACGATGGCTGGACGGGCATTTCGGCGGCGGGAGCGGCGCCGGAGGCCGCAGGAGGACGAGGGGCGGGAGGCAGCCACGCTGGCGGAGGCGGGAGCCTGCGCTGCTCACTGCCAGGAGAGGGGACCCGGAGACGCCCGACAGGCTGCACACGACCCCAGCCTGGTGCTCGGTCCCGCTTTGTTTGTGTGACTGAGAAGAAAGCGCTGCAGTCCAGCTGACAGCTTACCCGCCGCCTGCTGGTCCCAGGCCTCCCCGGGCGACAGGCCCAGCCAGGCCCCTCCAGGCCTGCGCTCCGTGGAGGAAGTAGAGAGAAGCCAGGAGGGACCGAGGAGAGGTGACTGCGCGTTGTGCTGAGGACCCAGCCAGGACCAGCCGCGGGTGCCAGGGAGGCCGCGGGCCGCGGTGAACCCCACCTGGAGGAGCACCGGGGTGCGGGGATCAGGCCGCGGGCTGGAATGTGGCCCGCCCTGGGCGAGGAAGCCGCAGACTCGTATGCTGAAGGCAGCGCGTTTGACTCCAAAGTTCACATCCTTCGTGTTGTTGACATGTGTGTCTTGGAGACGGGGCTGCTGCTGGTCAGAGGCCGGGAACGGGGTGCCGGGCACCTGCAGCGTCCTTACCGGGCAGCGGGTGCTCTCTGTCCGGCTCACCCTGGCCTCGGTGTGAGAAAAACCACTTCCGTGGTGAGAAGGTGCCGCTTGGGACCATCGTCCAGGAACCGCAGAATGGCGACTGCTGGGATGCGCTCCTGCTGCCTGGTCAGCTCCTTAGGAAACGCGGACTCTCCCCGGCGGATGGAGAGCTGCCCTCCGGGACGCGACGACATGGGGCCCGGAGCGGCATCCTGTCCTGGTCAGCCCCCGTCTCTGTGTGCGTCTCCCTGGTACCCTGCCGGCTGGCTCCTGTGGCAGAGGGGACTGCGGTGACTTTTTTTAAATTTTTTATGTTTTATTGATTTTTCACAGAGGGGAAGAGAGAGGGATAGAGAGTTAGAAACATCGATGGGAGAGAATCATCGATCAGCTGCCTCTTGCACACCCCCTACCGAGGATGTGCCCGCCACCAAGGTACATGCCCTTGACCGGAATCGAACCTGGGACCTTTTAGTCTGCAGGCCGGCGCTCTATCCACTGAGCCACACCGGTTTCGGCCGACTGCGGTGACTTTCAGTGGAAGTGGTGACTGGGAAATGTTTCTGTCTGAGACCCAGGACCACAGCCCAGCTGCTGCCCTCGCTGCAGAGAGGACGTCCTGCATGCTCCTGGGGCGAAGCGTGTTGGAGCGCGGGCTCAGCCGGGGGAGGCGGGCAGGTGCCAGCGGTGAACGGAGGGCTGATGGGCCCCAGACGCCTCAGCCTGTGTCCCGTCTGGGAATGAGAACCTTTCCCCAGATGAGGAGCGGGTCTCACCGCACAGCTCAGGGGCCGTGGAAACAAACCGCCTGTGGGCGGGGGCAGCGGGGAGCTTTGTCCTGGCCTCTTGGCCAGCTTAGGGACAGCAAGCGCCTGGGTCCTGGGTCCTCACTCGGAGGACCGGGCAGCGGCCGGTGGGTCCGTGCTCCTGACCTCGGGCAAGGCGCTCGCTGCCTAGACCTGCTCGTCCGGGTGAAGTCGGGCGATGCTGCCCACTCGCTGGGTTGCGGGTTCTCGCAGGCCCGTCCCCAGGTGTTGAAATAGTCATGAGCAGCTAGCATTACTCCACCTGCCGATAAGGAACTGGGGCGCAGAGCTGACCCCTGGTCGGACGTGGCCATTCCTCTCAGGAGGGGAGGATGCGGCCTGAGGGGGCAGGAGAGCCGGGCTGGAGTGGCCGCGGGGAGGGGCTGGGCCAGAGGAGGGCGTTCAGGAGCCGGGCTGTGACAGGAGCAGGTGCTGGAGGCGGTCTGAGGAGCGGCAGGCGTGGGTGCAGTGGCCCGGCTGTGGCAGGGCGGCCCTGGGTGACGTGGAGAAATGAAAGTCCACCCAGGGCTGCTTTGCATGTCACGTGCCTTCCTGGCCCTCCACCAGCCGTGTCACCTGCTGTTCTCCAGGCAGCGCACGGGAGGCGCCCGGCAGAGGGTGCGGGGAGGCCGGCCATGGGTGGCACGAGGCCCAGCCCTGCCTCTTCCTGGTTAACAGCGTGTGCGCTTGCTCAGTTACAGGATGTCCGAAGGGGACAGCGTGGGAGACTCCGTCCACGGGAAGCCTTCTGTGGTGTACAGGTTCTTCACACGCCTCGGCCAGGTGGGTGCCGGTGCCGGTGCGCGTTTGCACGGAGCTGTGACTGGGGAGTCCTCGGGGTGGGGGGGCGGGGGTGTCTGTGGAACGGGGGGTAACGAGGGGCGGGGGTGCCATGGGGCCCGGGGTGGTCCTGTGGGGTGGGGGTGTCTGTGGAGCGGGGGTAACGGGGGGGCGGGGGTCCTGTGGGGCGGAGGTGACGGGGTGGAGGTTTTCTGTGGGGTGGGGGTGGCTGTGGGGTGGGGGTTGACGGGGGGTGTCTGTGAGGTGGGGGTGTCTGTGGGGTGGGGGTGACGGGGGGTCTGTGGGGTGGGGGTGACGGGGTGGAGGTGTCTGTGGGTGGGGGTGACGGGGGGTGGGGGTGTCTGTGGGGTGGGGGTGACGGCGGGGGTGGGGGTGCTGTGGGGTGGGGTAAGGGGGATGGGAGTGACGGGGGAGGGGGGCAGGCAGGCACAGGAGCCTCGCACTTGCTCTCAGGACCGGCTCCCTCTGTCAGGAGCCGTATCTTCTAAGGGGCCATGGATGACCCTGGGCTTTACCACATGCTTGGTTTCTGAGTTGTTTTCCAACCTTTAATAACGAGGAAACCATCTCAGCTTCCAAGTGGTACAGACTGAGCGGCGCCCCTTCTGGCACCTGCCTCTGCATCCGTGGCCCCTGCCGTGTGCACTCCGTGCTGGAGCAGCGTGGGCTGGGACAGCCTGTGCGGCCAGCGGCGCCTCCACAGTGCCCAGCACCACGCGGTCTCCGTCCCTGCGGTCAGCCCCGGGCGTCTGCGCGCCGTGCTGTCCGTGTTAACCTCGGGAAGGATTTGAACAGCTCGACGTGGGAGTGGGGGAGGGGCCTGGGTTCGCACATTCTGTACCTTCATGAGTGGGTGAAGGTTTTCACAATTAAAACCTAAGTGTTCAAATCAAGCAATTTCAAAAGTAAGTTGGAAACATACATGCTATTATACATGGATGCATACATACATGCGTATGTTCATATAAACTCGAGTTCCTCTGCAGACTCCACGGCTGCAGGTCCGCCGCCTGCGCCTGCGCCTGCTCCAGGGTGCCGGGCGGGGCGGCCCCGGCCAGTGGGCGGAGTCCTGCTGCAGGCGAGACTCCTCGGTGCCCGCGTTCCTGCCTCGGCGGGAACGCCGGTGCCGGGGACGTCTGCTCGGTGTGTGTTTGCCCGGGCGCTGCCCTGCCTCCAGTTGTCGCCGTAAACGGGTCGGCTGTCGCCGCTGCTGCCCGGGGTGCTCAGCCTGGGCCCGCTGGGCAGCGGGCGGGCGGGCGGGTGACGCCGCGCCCCTGTCCTTGCAGATCTACCAGTCCTGGCTGGACAGGTCCACGCCGTACACGGCCGTGCGATGGGTGGTGACGCTGGGCCTGAGCTTCGTCTACATGATCCGGGTCTACCTGCTGCAGGTGGGTGTGAGGCGAGGCCGCCGCGGTGCTGAGCGTGTGGGTCCGCCTCGCGGCGCCTGCCTGGCGGCTGCCTGGCCTGAGGCGGGTTCTCTGGGAGGTGGCCGGTTCTGCGTTCTCTCTGGAGCGGCAGGTGTGTCCTGGCTTTGCCTGGGACGGAGGAGGGCATGTCCGCAGGTGGACGCGGCGTTTGCTGGGCCTCTCCCGGACGCGGAGCCGACACTCCCTCGGCGTTCCTCCTGGCTGTGCCGGCCAGCGCAGCGGGAGCGCCGAGGACGGCCGCCTGCGGTTCGCGGTGAAGTCACTGCCGCTGGGTTTAGTTCTGTGTTTTCAGTCGGAACTCGGTCCGTTCTGTGACGTCAAGAACAAGCCAGGAACCTTGCGTTAGAGAGTCCAGGCGGGGTCATGTGACTGTCCCAGTCACACCTGGTGGCCCCTCGGCCTGGGCCTGTGGAGGCTGTGGGCGGCCACGGCCTGCGCACCGGCTGCTTTCTGACCTGGAGGGTGGCCGGGCTCCCCAAGGGAGCTCAGTGCAGGGTTCCTCCGCCTCCTCTCCCGAGGCCGTGGGGCTCTAGAACATTCTTAACTGCATTCTTGATTTCCGGTTTTGTTGGTTCTGGTTTCTCCTGGGATTTAGGAAGGCTCTCAGTGTGTGTGGGGACAGGTTCAAGGTGCAGCAGGGCTGTCAGCAGTCAGGCAGACGGGGCCCAGGCACTCGGCTGTGAGGACCCTCCCTCTGCGCTCCTAGGAGCTGGTGGCTTCAGGATTTGGGCATCTCACTGGCCCTCTGGCTTGTCCTCTGAGACACAGAGCAGGAACTGTCCCCATGGACGGTCGCCACACTTTGCTGTCCCTCGTGACCCCCTCCGTGAGGGACGTGTCTGCTCTGAGTTTGGCCGGCGGACCAGTCTGCAGCCCGGGCGAGGGCAGCGTGCCCACGGCGCCTCCGGCCTGACCTGCTGGCTTCCCTTCCAGGGCTGGTACATCGTGACCTACGCCTTGGGCATCTACCACCTGAACCTCTTCATCGCGTTCCTGTCTCCCAAGGTGGACCCGTCCTTGATGGAGGACTCAGGTAGGCGCGCCCGCGGCTGCAGGGCCGCTCCGCCTCCGGACACAGACCGCGGCGCCTGCTCTGAGAGCCGTCCTGGTGCCGGTCGTGGCGGCTCCCTGAGCTCCTCGGCCACGTCGCTGGCTGCTCCCTCTCACCCCGAGGCTCAGCGTGGAGCTGTGAGGCCGCGTGCAGAGGGTGCAGGGTGAGGGTGGACGCCCGCCGGCCTGGCTCGGAGGCACCTCCACCTCGTCAGCTGGGCCTCATGTAGCCAGAGCTTCACGGCACAGCTGGGCCTGAGCCCGGGCAGCCCTGTGGGTGGCGCTCCGGGTCCCGGCCCTGCTGCTCCGGCCAGTTTTGGGCGGGTGGGCAGCAGGGAGGGGCGGGCAGCGGGAGGGGTGTCCCTGTCCCAGCACCTGCCCGCCTGGGGACGCCCTGGCTGGGGAGAAAGGGCCGGCGTGTCCTCGCTGTGCAGTGCTGACCCGGAGCCCCTTCTCTGCAGACTATTGGACAGAGATGTTGCCCCTGGCGGGAGGGGGAGAACTTGAGGCCGTGTCTGCGGCCGCAGCTTCTCCAGCAGCAGCAGCAGCACCTGCCTCGGCGTGGTGGGGGGTGGGTGGGGGGGCGGGGGGTGGGGTGCGGGCGGGTGGGGGTAGGGGTGGGGTGGGGGTAGGGGTGGAGGTGAGGGTGGGGTGGGGTGGGGTGTGGGCGGGCAGGCTCAGCCCCCGCGTCTCCTTGTGCTCCTCGGCGTGGTGGTGGGGGGGGTGGGATGGGGGGGGTGGGGGGGGTTAGGGTGCGGGCGGGTGGGCTTGTCCCCCGCGGACACCAGTCTCCTTCTGCCCCTCGGTGTGGTGGTGGGGGGGGTGGGATGGGGGGGGGGGTGGGGGGGGTAGAGTGCGGGCGGGTGGGCTTGTCCCCCGCGGACACCAGTCTCCTTTTGCCCCTCGGTGTGGTGCTGGTGGTGTGCGGAGGTAACCCAGGGGCAGCTGGGTTTTTAAGCAACTGAAACCCATGCAGTTCTTCCTGAAGGGTTTCTAACGGGCTTTCTGTAGCAGCGGCCGAACTCTGACTGGCTGGAGGCCCGCTCTCCTTGTTCGGGGGGAAGGTGTGTGTGTGGGGGTGTGTGTGTGGGGGGCAGGTGCGGGGCAGGTGTAGGTCGTGGAAGTGAGAGGCGCCATGTGTGCGCCTTTGCTGATGGCGCTCTGCCTTTCAGATGACGGCCCCTCTTTGCCGACCAAACAGAACGAGGAGTTCCGGCCGTTCATCCGGAGGCTCCCCGAGTTTAAGTTCTGGTGAGTGCCCCGGAGCGGTCCTCGAGGCCGGGGTCCGCCTGAGGCAGCGGGGGAGTTTTCGGAGAAATGAGCGCTGTCGTCACTGGTTAGAACGGGGTTCGCCCCAGCAGGAGCCTGTGCTTGCAGGCGGGGTGGCCAGGCCCCTGTGACGGCTGCCTGGCCTCTCCCAGTTGAGGCCAAAGGTCTTTGAAACATGCAAAGTGCAAAGAGGTTTTTCCAGGCAGAGCCTCCGGGTACGTTGCTGACTCGCCCCCCGAAGGGTGGGCTGCGTGGCAGTCTCTCTCCTGCTCCCCTCTGGTGAGGCAGCCGGACAGCGCCCCTCCGCTCAGGTGTCCCCGCGCTGGGCCGCCCGGGGCGGGCGCTGGGTGGCTGTGCCCCGGGAAGTGCTGGGCCAGGGGACCAGGTTGGCTGCTCCCCAGACCCCCTAGAGGCAGTGACTTCTGTGAAGGGGACTCCAGTCGGGGTGGGGCTCTGGGCCCTTTGTCTTGAACTTTTGGGTCAAAACCCTGAAGGACTGAGCCACCGTGTGGGGGGACCTGGTGGCGCTCAGCGTGCTGGGACTGAGCGTGACATTCGGGGGGGGGGGGGGACCTGGGAGCCCCCAGGAAGCCGGCTTGCTCTGTAGGAAGGGGAGCCCAGGAGGAGGGTCAGTGGGGCCGGGGGCCAGGCTGCATGGTGGAGCCCTGGTGGTCCCTGGGGGAGTGGGTCAGCACCCGCACTGCGGTCAGACGGGCGAGTCGGGAGGACACGGAGCTGTGTCCGGCCAGAGCCCATGTCAGATGCTCCCTCCCCTCCCCCCCACCCCCCAGGCACTCGGCCACCAAGGGCATCCTGGTGGCCATGGTCTGCACCTTCTTCGAGGCGTTCAATGTGCCTGTGTTCTGGCCCATCCTGGTCATGTACTTCATCATGCTCTTCTGCATCACCATGAAGAGGCAGATCAAGGTACCCGGGCCCGAGCCCGCAAGGCGGGGCCTGCACAGCGGCCACAGTGCGTGGGGAGGGCCGGCAGCAGCAGCTCTGCAGGCCTGGGGTGGGGACACGGGCTCCCTCCCCTCTGCCAGGGGTTCTGGGCCACGGCCGGTGTCGGGGAACGGGCCGGGCAGACAGCCCTGGGCTGGGTGGAAAGGTCCTGGTGGTACCCTCCTGGCACTGCGTCCTGTGGGTCAGAGCCAGGACCTGCCCGACAGTGCAGGGTTATGCACATGGACCCTAAAGCGGCCTGGGCAGATCACCTCCCTGTTGCCAGGGCGCCTCCCGGCCCGGCCCCTCCTGCTCTGGGACCTTTTCCGACCGGACCCGCCCCGCTCCCCAGCTCTGGAGGGACCCAGGGGTGGAAGCTCGCTGCCGGAGCCCTCTTATCGCCTGACGCGTGTCCTTCTGTCCCCAGCACATGATCAAGTACCGGTACATCCCGTTCACGCACGGCAAGAGGACGTACAAGGGGAAGGAGGACGTGGGCAAGACGTTTGCGAGTTAGACGCCGCCCGCTGCCCTCGGAGCCTGCGGCGGTCTGAGCCATTGTAACCGCGCCTTCTTTCCACATAAAGTAGTTGATGGCGAGGGAGTCGGATTTTCTTTGTAAAAGAGACTTCACTTATTTGTTACTGAAATAACGGGTTCTCAGGAAACTGCCACTGAACCTGATTGCATTGATTCCTTTGCAGTGACGCCAGGTGTAACGGACAGAATTGGGAGTCGGGCTGGGCCGTGGCCGAGGGGCTGGGGGCGAAGGACCGAGGAGGCCACACCCAGCCCAGCGGGAGCGGAGCCACAGCAGGAGCCGCGCTCACAGGTTTGCAGGACACCGGTCCCAGCCGCCTCCCAGCCGCCCCTCACCAAGGCGGTCCCACGGCCTCATGACTGGAGCTCTGTCTTAGCCACATGATTGCTGTGGGGCCTGGAATTATAAATATATATTATATTTTAATTGTTTGGATTATTTTGACATTCTTTCATACGTAAAGAGTTGCTTGGTTAATTTGAGTTCCCATACGGCAGCCCCACAGCAGCGAGCGGGAGGCCCAGTTCTGTGGGTCCCGGCTCTTTCCAGGATCAACGTGGACCTGCATGCCGACTTTCTGATGTACTGAAAACAGATACTCTGACCCTTTTCCTAAGTGACTTTTTAATTCAAACTTTATTAAAGACGGTGTCCCCTTCCGCACGGAGTCTTTATCCAGAAGCGCCCGCGGGACTCTGCCAGGCACAGGGTGGGCAGAGCGAGGCAGGGCTGGGCAGGCGCGGAGCCGGAGTCCTTTCTGGGGGTCGGGGCTCACACTCGGTGAGCAGCTGCCCGTGTCCTGGGGTTCTGCCATCGGGCGTGGACGGGTTTCTTGGCCATTTTGCCCACCTGGACTTGAGCTCTTCCTGCTTTCTAACCCGCCTCCCCCCAAGGATATGTGTCCATTTGATTTGATTTGAGAGGAGGGGGGAAGAGAAGCATCGATGTCAGAGGGACACCTACGGCTGCCTCCCGTACGTGCCCCGGGATCGACCTGAAAACCCCTTTGGTGCACAGGATGGTGCTCTCGCCGCCGGCCAGGGCTGCTCTTGCTCGAAGCGGACTGCTCAGACCTCCACCTGCCGCTGCGGAACCTGGAGTGGACGGGCCCGAGCAGCATGTCTGCGGCCAGGGCCCGGCCGCCTCACCTAGCGCTCCGTCCCAGTGCGCGCCAGGCCGGCGTGGCGGGAGGCTGTGCTCGGCCAAGTGTGAGTCAGGACTTCTGGGCCGGTGGCGGCCACCTGGGCCCTCGGCGGGAGGTCTCTGCTCAGTGGCCGGTCAGCGGCCATGACCGTCATTCCCTCAGAACAGAGTCTGGCTGGACAATTCCCTCTAGGGAGCGGCCTGCGTGGCCACTCCAGCGGGAGCCACGCAGACCCAAGGTCCTGGCCGGGGGTGGCCCCACCCTTAGGGCTCTCAACACGCCGGCTTTTAAGGGGCTTTATGGCCAAGTTCTGTCTCTGGTGCGAGTTAAACGGTTTCAAACCTGACAAATACAGTGTGTGGCTGTGGCAGGAAGTAGGCGGACACAGGTGGCGGCTGTCCTAGTGCCAAACTCGAGGGGGTCTGTGCCTCAATGTTAGGAAAACTTCTCGGGCAAGCTGGCTCTGCCCCAGAGGGCGCCCCCGAGGGGGCAAGGGCCTCAGAGTCTGTAGGGACCAGGACAGACCTCAAATCCTAAATGGAGAACAGACTTGACATGTGAATAAAGGCTGGTGTGGTTCAGCGGTTAGAGCTTCTGCCCACGGACTGAATGGTCATGGGTTCGAGTCTGATCAAGGACATGTACCTTGGCTTCAGGTTTGATCTCGGCCCAGTTGGGGCCCAGGTGAGAGGCAACCAATCGAGGTGTCTCATGTCCATGCTCTGTGTCTCCCCTTCCCTCCACAGTCTGAGGAGATCCTCAGGCAGGAAAGGCACCTGCCGGACAGGGTGTGGGCGGGCGCCCTGGTCTCCACGTCTGTGAGGGCTGTGCCTGGCGCTCCGCAGCGGCTGCGGTGGCTCTGTCTGTCCTGTCACCGGAAGTGCCGCAGGTAGACCAGCTTCTGGGGAGGGAACCTCTCCCTGCACAGGGGACACTCCGTCTGGGGGGGAGGGGGAGGTCACATGACTGTATCCCTGCGAGACCACTGCGCCCTCCCCACCGGCACCGGCACCGGCATCAACGTAGGACAGCCAGCGTTTCTCCAAGGCCTCCCACCAGGAGGGCCGTCACCCCGGCCAGCCTGCCCCTCAGTGACGGGCGGGGGCTGACACCCCGGGGCAGCCTGTGCCCCTCTCTGTCCCATCCCTGACGCCGGGCGGCCCACCCCAAGACCACCTGGGTGCGACCAGGTCAGCTCCCCTCCCGCCCTGCAAGGCCGGCCGCTCGCCTGTCAGGCACCCATGGGGCCCAGAGCAGGGACGGGGACAGCAGCCGAGCCTGGTGAGCCGTGAGCACCATGCCCCATGTTTGCCTCCTCACCCGGTGGCCCTCCCACTCCCCTCAGCCGGCCCCGGAGACGCCACGAAGGTGAGGGGCCCGGGACCGGCCCCCTGGGTCAGCATGGAGGTGAGAGGCTCTGCTGTCACCCGGCTCCCGCACCCTCGCCCTGAGGCCCGGAGCTCCCGCACCCTCGCCCTGCGGCCCGGGCTCCTGCCCTCTCACCCTGCAGCCAGGAGCTCCTGCACCCTCGCCCTGCGGCCCGGGCTCCCGCCCTCTCACCCTGCAGCCAGGAGCTCCCGCACAGCCGTCATTGGGTAGGGGGCCTGTCTGGCTGGAGGGGGCGGGTCTGGCGTGTGTGACCAAGAGCCACCGGGGAAGGGACACCTTCCCAGCAGCGCACGTTCTCTGGTGCTTTCGGCAAAGTGTCCACACACACGGCAGCCGTGGTGCCTTGACTCCGAATCCGACCCCGCTTACCAAGGCTTTCAGACACCCCTTCCCCCAACCCCCGCCCGCCAAGCTCAGGGCGGCCGCCTGGCGGTCACGACGGGCCTGCACTCGGGCGAGCTGACCTGGTGTCGCACTGACCTTGGTGTCGCACCACTGGGTGATGCACTCCCAGCAGAACAGGTGGCCGCAGGGCGTGGCCGTCGAGTGCCTGCGCTCCTCCAGGCACAGGGTGCACAGCGAGTTCCGGGACACAGCTTTCTCCTCCGTGAGGCTCCTGTGGTTGGGGGAGAGGACTGAGCCCCCAGGTCCTTGTTGAGCACCCCGAGCCCTGGGCCGGCCCTGCACACCTGCGGCGAGACATCCTGCGGTGCAGCTTCCACTCGCGCTGGGCGCGCTGCCTCTGCCGGAAGCCGTACAGCTGCAGCCCCAGGGACAGCGCCAGGTGCAGCAGGGAGACCAGGCCCAGCAGCCGGTAGCTCGCCCGGGCCCGCAGGTCCTCTGCCGGCGGGCGGTGGAGGCGGAGCTGCCAAGGGCCCCCCGGAGACGGTCACACGACTGGACAGACCGGGAGGCCAGCCTCTGCCTGCATTCACTGTGCGTGTCCTGTCAAATGAGCCCCCCCACCTCGGCGCCCACAGGGAGGGAGAAGGGCAGGGCACTTCCCAGGGCCTGAGCACAGGGGGGCAGTCAGGGCGCTACTGGACAGCTCAGGGCTCGTCCCAGCACGGAAGCCAGAAGTGTGCTGACCACGCTGGCTGCATGTGAGGATGTGGGGTGGGGACATCCAAGGATCCATCTCAGAGAGGCGAGGAGCCAGCAAAGAAGCCTGAGAAAGAGCACCCTGCGGGGCGGGAGCAGCTCTAACCAGCTGTGTGGCAGGAACAGGTGCCCATGCCACTGGTGTGACAGGTCAGCAGCCGCTCCTGCAGCCAGTGACGGGGCGGCCACGGCCCGCCTCCCTTCCCTTGGCTGGGGATGAGGCAGCCAAGCCAGCAGACCGGCTGGGCCTGGTGCCTGGCAGAGAAGAGCCCAGGCTGCCCGGTGCCCAGCAGAGGACAGAGCCTGGGGCTGAGCCTGAGTTTCCGGGCTCCTGGTCAGCAGCTCAGCAGCACACAGGAGCACATGGGGACGTGACTGGACCCACAGGGGAGGCACCTGCCCGGGACCTGCTGCTGGGGGAGGTGGAGAGGGGCAGGGGAGTCGGTGCGGCTTTCTCAAAGGGAGTGCCATGCTGAGAGCAGCTGGAGAGGGGGCCGGAGACCCTCTGTGGGCAGGCAGGTCCGGGGGCGGCTTCTAGGCGACTGGGGACCAGGGGACTGGGACAGGAGGGTGTGAGCTGTCGTCCAGCAGAGCTGGCGGGCAGACAGTGGGACGCTGTCAGCGAAGGGGCTCAAGTTCCTCAGGAAACACCTACACGTGACCCACAGTCAGGGCAGGCTGGGAGGTGTGGCCACGGGCTGGGAGGTGTGGCCACAGGCTGGGAGGTGTGGTCACAGGCTGGGAGGTGTGGCCACGGCTGGGAGGTGTGGCCACAGGCCTGCGCTCCAAGTACGGAGCAGGCGCAGGGCCTGGCACCAAGCGTGGCCCCAAAGGCACACGTGCCCGACCCTCAGGGTTTGTGGAAACTAAACTTCCCCAGTTTTTGTTTTTTAGCAAAATGTGAACCAACAAAGCCCAGTGGAGGGTCTGGCCAGCCCGTGTGCCGGTCCACAGAGGCCCGAAGAGCCACCTCCGCATAGGCAAGCCGGGTCAGGCCGTGGGCGCGCCGGCACTTACGTAGGTGACGCCCGTGAGCCGCTTGGCCAGGTGGTAGAAGGCGCCGTGGATGTAGAACCAGGCGACGTGCAGCCGGTGGAGGCAGCCCAGGCCCTGCCTGAGCACCAGCACCGCCCGCAGCAGCGCCCTCCTCTGCGGCTCCGGCAGGGCCGCCACCTGCCTGTGCACCCAGCGCCGGGCTCCCGACCGGCCCCTCGAGGCGCCGGGAGCCGGGCGGGCGCCGTTGCCGTCGGCCTGCAGCTCCTGCTCCAGGTGGAGCAGCGCCTTGTCCAGCACGTAGGGCAGGACCGTGTGCAGCGCCACCAGCACGCCGCGGCGCAGCCTCTGGGGCACCTGGCTCCGGGACGGGTCCACCTGCACCAGCCCCACGTACTCCTCGCCGAGGGTCTGGTAGCCTGGGGGCGGGAGACACCGGGGAGGGGCTGAGGCAGGGCCCCTCTCGGACCACGGGGTCGGCCACGGAGAAGTGGTCTCCATGGCACCCGGCGACCCAGGAGAAAGGTCCCAGGGACACAGAGAGGATGAGGAGGAACCCGACAGGACGGGTGCACGGCCGTCAGAGCTCTGAGGCCCTGTGGCTCCGGGCCTGGCCTCCCCTTAGAGGGTAGGGTTGTGGGGTCCGGCTCCGAGGAGGCTGGGAAGCACCCCCGGGAGCTGTCAGCCCCCCTCCTGTCCTCTGGGCTTGGCGTGTGTTGTGGCCCTGGGTCCTGGGTCCCATGGGGAGCCCACCTGCAAGTGTGGTGAGGCCGAAGTAGGCCACGTCCGACAGCAGCTCGAGCTCCTTCCTCCACTCCAGCCACTTCCTGGCGCCTGAGAGCAGAGCAGTATGTTCCTGGGGGCTCAGGGGCTCAGTGAGGTCCTCCGGCTGCCCAGGCCCCGCACAACCCTGTCCTCGAAGCGGAGCTGCCCCAAACGCACACCCTCTCCCTCCACCGGCTCCGAGCGGCCCATTCTGCTCCCCCTGCACCTCGCCAGGCCCCCCCCCCCCGTCTCCCCAGTACCTGCCCACCCGGAGTCCATCTCCCCCCGGGGTCCGCCTGAGAAGTGTCCTGGCGCCGGAGGGCCACAGGACAGACTGTAACAGACCGAGTGGCGGCCCAGCGCCCACCCTGCTCCCCGCCCTCGTCCGGCCTCGGCAGTTCCAGGGTCTCAGGACCCCCCGCTCCCAATTCGGAGGCCGGGCACGCCAACGCCCACTCTGCAGGGTGTTCGGTGAGTTATTCCTAAGGCGCCCACTCGCGCCCGGCCCTGCCCCCTCAGCACCGGCCCGGCCCACCCCCGGCGGCCGGGCGCCCACGGCCTCGCTTCCTCCTCCGGCAGTCTGGGGGTGCGACGGGCGGGTCCGGGGGCGCCCAGGACCACCCACGGGCCGGTCACCGCCAGCGGCGCCTCGACGCTCACCCGCCAGGCTGTGCAGGGCGCTGCCCGCCGCGCTCCGCAGCCCGCCGCGGTAGTAGTCGTCCTTCTGGGCCGCGCGGACCACCTCGGGGGGACTGGCGGCCGCCGAAGCCATGGCTGCAGGGACCCGGGAACCCGGATGGCCACGCCCACACGGCGCTGCCTGATGACCGGCTGGGCGTGGGGCGCACACATCGTGCGTCACGGACCGTGGGGCGGGGCCAGGCTGGGGCGGGGCGGGGGACAGCCGGGCTCGCGGGTTCGGATTGGGCGGTGAAAGGGGCGGGGGCGGGCGATTGAGGGGCGGGGCTGCGCGGGGACGGGGGCGGGAACTTGTTGGGCGGCTCTCGGGCTCCGATTGGGCAGTGAGAGGGGCGGGGACGGGCGACTAGAGGGGCGGGGCTTAATGGTAGGCGGGACCATCGGGGCGGGTCGGAGGACAGCCGAGCCCGAGGATTCGGATTGGGCGATGAGGGGGGCGGGACGGGACGGGGGCGGGTCCCCGCGGGGCCCCGCCTCCTGAGGCCAGGGCTCAAAGGGCGCCGACCCGCGGGAGCCGGGCGGGCGCAGGGCGGGCCCGGGTCCGAGGGCGAGGTTCCGGTTCTGAAAGCGGAGCTGCTGCTCCCGCGCGTGGACTGAGCGGCGGCCTGGAAGCCAGAGGCGGTGTGACCCCCCGCGAGCCGGGGAAGCCTCGCCCGCCTCCCGCCCTCCGGGCCGCTGGGACCCGGGCCTGAGGGGGGCGGTCCCGCGCGGGGCCGGCTCTCCTGCGCTGGCGCCCTCCGCCGGCCCCACCACAGGGGCTCTGGGGACCCCGTTTGGGAGCGGGGGCTCCGAGGCTTGGGGACCAGGGTCAGGAGGACCAGCCCGGCACGCCCGCTGCCCGCCCGCTGCCCGCCCGAGCGCAGACCCGGGAGGCCGGGGCTGGTCAGGGCCACACCCCGGGGCTTGCCAGGGGCACAGCCTCAGGCTGGGCTGAGGGCCTGAGGAAGGACAGTGGGAGAAGGCGGGTGTGGGGGACCCAGAGGCCGGGGCCTCAGTGCCCGCGGCACCTGTGGGGGAGGCAGGGCCCAGCGCGGCCTCCGCCGGCTGCCGGCCGGGAAGCGCCCGCCTCACAGAGGTCGCCTTGGTTCCATCACGGGCGCCCACAGCTGCTTGTTTGGGTGCCACTGGCAGAGAAAAAAAGTAATAATTGCCTTCCTTTTTTGCTCTAAAGTGACTAAAAAATACATATTGACTTTTACAGAGGACAGTGATAGAGTAGACTTAATCAAGCTGGGGAGTGCAACCAAGGTACATGCCCTTGACCGGAATCGAACCTGGGACCCTTGATTCCACAGGCCGACGCTCTATCCACTGAGCCAAACCGGTCAGGGCCCAAAGTGACTTTTTGAAAAATTAGGTGCCTATACTTGCATACTGATCTCTGATGCCCAGATGAACCAGTCAGATGCAACTTTATCATGGGAGGTGGCCAATAAAGACGCAACGCTGTTGTATCACCTAACTACGGGGTGTCCTCCCCCCGCCCCCCAAAATCTATGCACATTTAGCAGCTGGAGCTCCAGGACTTGGGGGTCAGACTCCAGCACGGCCAGCAGGTGTCGCCATGGGCTCATGGGCTCCACCACGTGAGCGGGTTGGGTTCAGGGCCTGAGTTACACCTCCACGTGTGAACTTAGATGGGAACCAAAGACAGAGCGGAGTGACCGCTCCCCGGCCTCCGTGTCAAGGTGTGGACATGGCTGAGGGGGTGACCGACTAGTCCTCAGGTCTTGGGACTCTGGGATGGGCGAGGCGGGCGGGGTGGGGGGCAAACGGGGGTGGGGCCCCTGGTCAACACTAGCCCCATGGAGAGCTAAGATATTTAACACTTTTCCTCCCGTCTTCCAAGTTCCAGCTGGGTCGGTGTTCAAACCAACAGAGACAGGGTCGTGGGAGAAAGTCGGATCTTTTTTTTTAAAAGTATATTTTATTTATTTTTTACAGAGAGGAAGAGAGAGGGATAGAAAGCTGGAAACATCGATGAGAGAGAATCATCGATCAGCTACCTCTTGCACACCCCCTACTGGGAATGCGCCCGAAACCAAGGTACATGCCCTTGACCGGAATTGAACCTGGGACCTTTCAGTCTGCAGGCTGACACTCTATCCACTGAGCCAAACAGGTTACGGCAGAAAGTTGGATCTTAACGCCCAGACCTGTGGGCTGTCCAGGAAGCATGGACGAGAACAAGGCAGCACCTTCCTGGACGAAGGAGCAGGGGCAGGTCTGAGCCCTCAGCACCCGAGCGAGTGACTGACGGGGGTGGCAGGTGGGGAACAGACAGAGGACAAGCGTGTCGCACTCAGAGGCCACCGGGGGCCCAGTGACCCAGGTGTGAGTGGGTGTGGCCACAACAAACCAAGGCTTCCATTTTCATAGGAACGCAGGCTCATCCCGACAGAGACGGGCCGGGTACGGGGGGCTGAGACACATGAGTCGTCATCAACATAAAATAACAGGTCAGCTTAATAAAAATTAACATTCCTTCTTGAACGTTAACTTACCAGACACTGAGTAACGGCACAAATTTATAAGCGTCTCGCACGTAAACCTGTTTTTCCTGCTCTCTGGAAGCGAAATGTTTCCCACTGCGCTCACCAAACAAGTCGGCCCCGCACTAATGCCGCGGCCATCGGCTGCTGGTGTCACCCCACACCAGGGATGTGCCCACAACCAAGGTACATGCTCTTGACCGGAATCCAACCTGGGACCTTTCAGTCCGCAGACCGATGCTCTATCCACTGAGCTAAACCGGTTTCGGCCCCAAGTGACTTTTTAAAAAACCAGGCGCCACCCCGTTGGCGGGGCTCAGGGACTGGGCATCGACCTAGGAACCAGGAGGTCAGGGTTCGATTCCTAGTCGGGGCACAGGGCCTGGCTGCGGGCTCCATCCTCAGTGGGGGGCCTGCAGGAGGCAGCCGATCCGTGGTTCTCTCTCATCGTGGATGTTTCTCTCCCTCTCCCTTCCTCTCTGAGATCAATAAACGGTAAATTTTAAAAAAAATTACGTAAGGATTTCTGGTACCAAATTAACCACTCAGATGCAGCCTTACTCTGTGACTGACAGAGAGGAAGCGCTATTTATCGGCTGTCCCCCCGAACCTACGTGCGCGCTCACCGCGGGCGGCTCCGTGTGAAGATGGATGTGTCTTGTGCACACGCCTTTGTAATCGTCCAAAGTGTGTGCGTGCATTGGGGGAAACCTGTGTTTGCGGCTGAGACAGGCCTTCCCACCGCACGGTGAACGGTGAGCTGCTGCCCTGTTATTGGACAGGCTCAGGGGGAGGACCTTGCCTGTGGGCAGGGCCTTGGGGCACACCAGGGTGCCGGGACACCCCGGGCTGAAGACCCCTGCTGGCTCCAGGGCAGGTTTCTCGGATCCTCTCGGGCAGGAAGCGCGGCTCAGGCGTTCTCTCCGACTCTGTCGTCTTGTCCCGAAGGACAGCCTCAGCCCTCACTCCGGTTCCTCCTGCTGAACAACGGGCCTGTGTCCACATGACTTCCCGCCCCGTGGGTCCCCAGGGGGCGGAGGGGGGGGAGGCCCTGCTGGGCCGCAGGCAGGTGGCTATGGGGGGGTCCCAGCCTGCCCCCCACCGCCGTGGCCGCCCCCTCCCTCGCATACGGCCTGGGCCGGGGCTTGGGGGAGGTGGCGGCAGGGCTCAGGGCTCAGGGCTCATCTCACCGCTCACTGGGATGAACCTGGGAAACAGGTTTCTCCGCCTGCAGCCCGGAGGCCCGCCCCCTCCTTGGGTGGCGCAGGCCTGGCCCTGGAGGCACTGGGGTGGTGGCCAGGGGGTGGGGCTGGGCCTGGCACAGGTGGGCCCAAGGTGTGCCCTGTCGGGGTACAGACAAGGGCCGAGCAGAGCAGCCTGGGGCCCATGGGGAGCTGGGGGCCTGGGAAACCCCGTCCAACCAGGAGTCCGCCTTCCTGTTCTGGCCATGACAGCCAGAGCCCCAGCCCCTCCTTGCACCCCAAGTCACCCTGCAAACCCCGGCACCCCTTCCTCATAGGCCCAGGCCCCAGCATGACTGACCAGGGCATCTGTGTCCCCTTCCCCTGTGTCCCCTCTCCCCTGTGTCCCTCCCCCCTGTGTCCCCTCCCCCTTGTGTCCCTCCCCCCGTGTCCCCTCCCCCCTGTGTCCCTCCCCCCTGTGTCCCCTCCCCCCTGTGTCCCTCCCCCCTGTGTCCCCTCCCCCCTGTGTCCCTCCCCCCTGTGTCCCTCCCCCCTGTGTCCCTCCCCCCTGTGTTCCCCCCCCCCTGTGTCCCTCCCCCTGTGTCCCCTCCCCACTGTGTCCCTCCCCCCTGTGTCCCCTCCCCCCTGTGTCCCTCCCCCTCTGTCCCCTCCCCCCCGGGGCCCCTCCCCCTCTGTCCCCTCCCCCTCTGTCCCCTCCCTGGTCTCCTTGCAGAGAATATCTGAGCCCCGTGAGCTCTGGGCTGAGGTGGAATAAACTGGTCACTGCGGAGCGAGCTCTCGGTGCCCCGCTCCTGGAGCTGCCGTCCAGTCGGTGCCGGGCCTCCTGCTGGGGTGCGGGGCCTCCTGCTGGGGTGCGTTATTAGGAAACACGTCAGACCGCCTGGGCCCTGAAAGTTTCTGGGGACCCCTGGGGTTCCTTGGGCCACACTTTGGGAAACGGATGCTCTCTGAGCAGCATGGACCCCACACGCCCCTCCCCCCGGCCCCATGCACCCCACCTCCCAGCCCCACGTGAGCGAAGGGCTTGCCATGGCCTGGTGGGTCTGGCCCAGCGCCAGCCTTCACTCTTCGCCTCCTCCTCCTCCTCCTCTGGGTCTGGGCTGGGGGTGGGGGGGGTAGGTGGCTCCCAGGAGAAGCTACAGCTTCCCTCACCCGCCGGCCATGGGGGTGCCCTGAGCTGCCTCCCCGTCATCGGGGTTCCTCCTCCCTGGACCCCACTCCCAGGCTGGAGACTGAGCTGGGGGCACTGGCCAGCGTGTGTGGGGGTGTGGGGGGGGAGTGGGGGGAGTGGGCGGGGCTGGCTGCGGGGCCCCAGGGGGAGGAGCTGGGACAGGCAGCGGCAGGGGTGCAGCCTGAGAGAGGGAGGGGGACCCAGGAGGACTGGGCCAGGGAGAGTCCCAACACAGCCACCTGCCAGGTCCGGGGCCTCGCCTCCCCGGAG